ATATATATATATATAAAATATACACACATACACATATACATGCATGCTGAGGGACTATCTTATGCATCTAGGATGTTTAATAGCAATCGCTGGACTCTGCACTAAATGCTGGTAGTACAAACACCTGACTTCCCCACTTGTGACAATTAAAAATGTCTTCAGACATTGGAACTGCTATCTTTTTGTTGTTGGTTATGAGACTTAATCAGTTTCTCTGGCACTTTCTGGCCATATTACTCTTCCTGGTCCTATGCAGTTTCATTTGGCTTGTGGGAAAAAGGAGAGTTTTTAGGTTTAACTGTTTTTGGTCTATGTAAATAAGCCTTTTTTTTTTTATAAAGAAGGCAGAGCAGTTAAATTATAAGCCATGAAATATGTATTTGGTAAGAGCCAATTAAAAGTAAATTCTTATATTGAATAAGAAAAACAGTCTTAAGACTGCCATGTAATGTTTGTTCTAGACTACAAGGTAAAATAGTTCTTTAAGTTTAGAATTACTTAACATTCTATTCTCTGTGTAATTTATATATTTTAGCTGAGAGAAGAAAAGTTACAAGAGGAGAAAACCTCTGAAGATCAAATCCATAAGCTGTTACCAGAAGATACAGAAACAGGGAAGAAGAAAATGGATGAACAGAAAAAAAGAGATGAACCAATAGCGCTAAAAACAAATCTGGAACATGTAAGTAGATCACTTATTTTGATAGACACCTACCTCAGAAATAAACAATTAGTTCAGGTGATATGGATCTGAAAGTTGGTAAACTGTGAGACCAGTAACTATGCAACCTAAGAGTAGTGAAGAACTTAGCATCCAGATAAGAGCTAGAATGTTTTTTTTGTTTTGTTTTGTTTTTTTGGTACCAGGGATTGAACTCAGGACTTAGTGCTTGCAAGGCAGGCAGCAGCACCACTGAGCTAAATCCTTGGCTCAAGAGCTAGAGCAAGTAGTTTTGATGAGACTGAAAGATTGTGGGAACAGTAGGGGCTAATGGTAAGGAAGAGGAAAAGCCTAGTGTATACTATGTATGCTCTATGAATATTATAATTTTGACTTACATATCAATCTTTGACATTTGAATTTTATATATCTCTTATCCTTAACACTTATTTTCCTTACCTTTATAATGTCCTACACAGAACAGTGCTTAATCTAAAGTATGTGCTCAATATTAGATATATCATCTGACTTAATCTAATTAGACTATTTTAATTTGATCTAATCTTGCCCAATTTTTTCATTGCTTACCAAATAAACTACTGGCAAAGGTTGTAATTTGTATATTTAAATTATATAAGAAAGCACCTTTGGAAGAACCACTAATTACTCTCAAATGGATGGATAATTATAATTGAGATTTATTTAGTAAATCATATTGGATTGGATATTTATTGCTTGCTTATGTACTGACATCTTCAGAGTCATGTCTTTTAAAATATTTTGATTCAGGGTTGTTATATTTCACTTTTTTGTGTGTGATACTAGGATTAAGCCCAGGGTTTGTTTTATTGAGTTACACCCTCAGCCTTTTTATTTTATTTTTTGAGACAGAGTCTCACTAAATTGCTAAGTTTCCCAGGCTGGGTTCACACTTGCAGTCCTCCTGCTGCAGTCTCAGAGTTCTGAGATTACAGTCATGTGTCACCATGCCTGGCTTGTTTTTGTATTTTTGAGGACTTTGAATGGTCTTAACTTTGCTTTCAATATGTCTTAAGAGTGTTTTGTTTTGATTTTTGGTGTTGAGAAAATAATTTCATTTAATTTAGCCCCAGCTGCATTCAGATTGAGACCCTGTGGCCCCAGTACAAAGACAACTGGAAGGGTTCTTTTTTGGATAGGGTGTACCTTGATTAGAATTGGGCTAATATTTCACCCTTCTCCTCTTAGACCTCAGGGATTCCACAGTTCCTTTGGAATCAAGAGGGAACTTCTCATTGCAACATTCAGGTCCTTTCTTAAGTTCGTTCTAGCTTATCTTTCCATCCTTGCTTATATCCCAAAATTCTAAGGAGTAGAGCTGTTTGCTTTCCCAAAATAACATACTTCTGTGCTTTTCCTCCTCAGTAGGCATTTTCAGCAGCCTCCCATTGAAAGGCTATTCATCTCTCTGTGTCTAGCTCAAAAGCTGTCACCTTCATGCAACCTGTAGGGATTCCTCACTTGTTTCTCTGCTTCTGTCATCCACTCTCCCTTCTTCATCCCCACACTTTGTAACTGTAGTGGAACATACTTCATTCTATTTTACATTATGGTTTATTATTGAGTTTGCATTTATGAGATTGTAAGTTTGTTGAAATGTGTCTTAACCCTTTAAAAATCTACTGTAGTACCTTGCACATCACACTTTTATGCATTTTCATGAAATTAAACTTGAATGGAGGGAGAAAATTATTCTAGAAGCTTAATATAATTATTTTAGAAGCAGAGACTGTCATTAGTCTTTTTTCAGAATAGAAAATAAGACGGGCATAGTATTTATTACAACTTGTTACTTTGCAGTTTATCTAATAGTAATGTGAGTTGTTGGAAAACAATTCAGTATAGCTATTACAATTACACTAAAGATTGTAAACCAAAAGTGAAAAATTATCCTACAACCTACAAGTCACCCATGGTAAATATCCTTCCAGACCTCTCTTCTAAGTGCATTATAATACACTATATTTTGTTTTTCTTTCCAGAAAATACGACCTAGGGTACATACTGTTTTATAACCTGTTTTTAGTTAACTGTAAGTTGTGGATGTCTTTCCCTGTAAATAAAGACTCCACATAACTATTTAGTGGTCCTCTAGCGTTCTTGGCTATGGAATTTACTTATCAATCTCCTGTTGATATTTTTACTGTCTTAAGCACCTGTCATAAAATATACCTGCCTCATTAATTCCTTAGGAATAAATTACTAAGTTGAATAAGCATGTCAAAGGAATGTCTCCCACCTGTAGTCCCCCATACTAGAGATTGAACCCAGGGCCTTTGCCCTGAATTCCTTTATCCTATATTCTATATCCTTTATTCCAGTATCCCCAGAGCCCTTTCCTCTATTTTTTTAACATTTGATTTTGATCTCACTAAGTCAATAAGTTGCCTAGGCTGGGCTCAAACTTTTGATCCTCCCTTAGTCTCCCACAGTGCTGGGATTATAGGTATGTGTCACCTACCTGGCTGGAAGTATTATTTTAAATGTTTTTATTACTCAGTTATCCCCCCAGAAGGTTTGCATATAATTATATTCTTTCCAGTAGTACATGAGAACACTAAACTAATTTCTTCACTGTTTGCCTACTCTGGGTGTTATTCTCTAAATTTTTTTTAGGTACAGTAGTTGTTTCAGATGTCACTACAGGGATCCCATTTATCCATGCCTTGTCCATTTTAAGAATCCATAGTGCTATAGGTTTATTTTTTATCTAAGATGAAAGATGGAAGGTAATGTTTCAACAATTAAAAGGAACTTGGCAAATGTTTATTATAGTTTTTTTCTTAATAGAATAATAGTATTTAAATTAAGAAAAGTATTGCTTCTTGGCCTTTTGGCTAAGATCAAGTGTAAATTAAGAAAAGTAAAGTCTATCTTTTTGTTGAGTATTGTTAGCTAAAGTACCAAGGTGCTTTTATTGGCTTATGAGGAAAGTAAAGTAATTCTTTATAGTAAAGTAATTCTTATTTTGTGGATGAGAAAACTGAGGCTCAGGAAGATAAAGTGGCTAAGCTCCAGTGACAGTGATAGTTAAATAAGATAGTTGAGATTTGAATAGTCTTTTACGTGGTACTGAGTTGATTACAGAGAGAGGCCAAAGTAGATAAAAATTGTAAGGAAAAAATAACTGTAGGAGAATTTGGAAACCTTTATAGAGAAAACGACCTTTAAGATGACTGAAAAGCTAATGTGTAAGTTATAGGCAGAGAATGCAGATAGGGAATTTTAGGCAAAGGGAATAGTGTATTCAAAAGAAGTTTTGAAAGACTGTGGTACATGTAGAGAATAAAAAGTAATCTGCTTGTACTGGAGCTTAAGTTCTGTGTGTAGGAACTGGTGGGAGAAAAGCCATGAAAGAAGGTTGGGTCTAGTTTGGGAAGGTTATTGTATCAGGCTGAGGTGTTTAGGCTTGATCTTGGAGTCACCACAGTTAAGCAAGGGAGCAAGATTCTCTCTGTGTGTTGGGAAGGTCATTCTTGGCAGAAAGCAGATACAGTATTTGAGGGGAAAAAGCTCGGAAGAAAATGAGACCAGTAAATATATTAGTGTAATAGTTGAGAGAAAGTAATAAGGCTCTCGGGTAAGGCACGCTAATGAATATAAATGAGAAGAGTTAGATCTGTGAGACATTTTTAGGAGCAGAATAGAGTGGAAATAATTTGAAGATTGATGCTCTGAATTTTAGTTTTAGCCACTTATTAACTCTGTGGTCCTAGGCAAATTAAGTACTCAGAATTTGTTTGACAAAAGTGAAAGACATAGTGATAATTTCTGTTTTAATGGGACTGATAAAAAGAATAAATAAAGTAAATATTTAGAAGTATTAGAGTGCCCAAAACCTTTTATGACTTAGATGCAAGGGAAATAACAGTCATAGATGGGATTAAGATTTCTAGAGGGTTGGTAATGGAGCTTAGAGAAGAGAAGTAGTGAGTTTGACTTTGGATATTTTAAATCGGAGTTACATTTAGTATTGGGATCTCCAGGAGGCATTTGGAAACTGAGATTGGAAGTCAAGAAAAGTGACTTAGAGATTTGAACCTATAGCTAGGGTAAATTTTATAGGAACCCCAAACAGACGATCTTGTCTCCTTTATCTCTCTCCCATCCCAGTGTCTTGCACGTCTCTCAGATTCAGAAAATGAAGAACCTTCTCGAGGCCAGATGACACAGCCACATCGCTCAGCATTTGTTTCCAAGAACAACTCGTACTCCATAGCTTTCCTGGCAGGGTAAGAAACAAATACTGAATTCAGTCAGGGTTTTTTTTGGTGGAAAAAAAAAAGGGACTGGGGAATCAAAGGTATTTATTGTAGCTACTTTGGGGGAGGTGGAAGAGGTATAAAGAAGTGGGAAGTGGTTTTTCAAGTATGAATTAGATAGAAAATCTGACCTAAATTTTTAAACGAAAATAATATTTATCCATTTCTGTCATCAGAGGGGTGGGTAGAATTGTGCTAATTTTTCTTCTGCAAAGTGTGGACCTTTTATCCTGAGAGGAAACAATCAAAGTCTTCTTGAGTGGGACAGTATCCATGAATTTTTCCTGTGGATTTTAATGCTCTCAGTAGGAAGTGAAGCCAAAGTCAGTTTCATTTTCAGTGCCTACATCTAACTATATCTTCATAGATTTCAGGGAGGCAAACTGAAAAGTTTTTGAGATTTTTTATCCTTTGGACTTTGCAGGTAATGTGGAGAAAAGGAGGAAGGAAATAGATGGATGCTGGATAATGGAGGATGTGGGTAGTGAAGGGCCAGATGGAAGGCAGGGAAGATGGGCCAGAAGGAAGGAGGAAGGGAGCAAGAGGAAGAGAAAAAAAGAAAAAAGAAACCATTGATTCATTCAATAGAAATTTTGGGAACAGCTACTACATGCCATGCTCTGTTTTCTTTTTTTTCCTCATTGAGTTTATTGGTACATTTTCGGTATACAGTACAGTGCTATGCTCTGTTTTAATATAGAGTTACAAAGGCACAATTTTTTTGGTCAAAGCTGGCATTGCTCACCCTCATTCCTAAGGTTTATCTCCATCTTCCTATCAGTACTAGGTAGTAGCTCTCTTTTCCTGCCTCTGTGGACATACCTGGGTCCCTTTCTGGCCTAAAGATTTTATGCTAGTCACTTAAAAATAAGGCACAAAGAAGCCACAAAAGTTTCAGAACGTTAAAAATGCTTACTATGATTCCTGGCCCATTTCTGAATCCTTTTTGTGTACATTCTTTTGGAGCAGTTTGCTTTTCCTTTGTTGGAGAGTTTAAGAGCAAAATTCACAAAATATTCCTTTACCTTAAATTCCTTCCCTTCTCTAAGTAATGGCAGCTACCTCCTTAGAAGTCCCCTCCTAGACTGTTTATTCACTCATTTGACATTTGTCGCATGGTTATTGTTATCATAGTTACTTAAGATTAATTGATATCAGTACCTAGTATATGGATATGTCTTTGCCATTTATGATGAATATTGAACTATTGAATTTTGTGTATGAGCTTGAAATATAGATGCCCTGTGTTATGGCCTGTGTTTAGATGTCTGTGTGCCCCCACCCAAAGCCTCATGTAGGTGGGGCTTGCTTTTTCAGAGGTAGCTGAGTCTGGAGTGTGTGATGCTGGGATTAAGGGCATGTGATTACTAAACCACTACACATGAGTGATTGGTTTGGCACCACTCTAATCCTGGTAGTCTGGATAAAAGGGACAGAAAGACACTGGTAAGGTCCCTTGTTGCTTTTGCTATTTTGTGTGTGCCATGTTGTTTCTCTTCTGCGATGCCTGTTTGCCATCCCTGCCCTTGAGCAAGCCAATTATGGACTGAAACCTCAACAAACTGTGATCTAAACAAACCTTTCCCCATTTAATTTTGGGTGTTGGGTAATTTGTCTCAGTGACAAGAGAAAAGTAACTTAAGACACCCTTCAAAAGTGAAACACTAAAGATTGCTTTATTAAGACTTGCCACTGCCTGGATGTGTGTGTGTGGTGTGTGGGGTGTGTGTATAACCCCCTCTTTTATATCAGGTATATATTACTGATGATAAAAGGGATACAGCTGAGAATTGTGGTGCATACCTATAATATCAGCTGTTTGGGAGGGTGAGGGAGGAAGATTGCAAGTTCAAGTTACAACATAGCAAGGCATCATCTCAAAAATATGTAAGATTAAAAAAATGAAAGGGAGCTACTAAAAATAAAGTGAATGATTTTAATCAAGTCATAATAAATGTTCCCTGAAGCCAATAAATATTATTTTCTGAAATATGTGATTAAAATCTTAAAGCTAAATTTATATTAAAATCCAAATATGAATCTCTGGTACTCCCCCCCAAAAATCTAAATATAATCAAGGGAAAATTACCCCACTTAGTTGGAGTAGGTATTGAGCAGGTGAATTACTTGTCACCAGTTCCTTTGTCCTTGTACCCTTATAATGCATTCTTTTAAAGAGGGGTAGCAGATTTATATGTCATTACTTAAAATGCCTTGCACATTTTTCTCTAATGGGCAAAACTATAAAGCCTAGACAGAGGACTGTACTTTTGATTTTTTATGTCTTTGGAAATTTGGCATATACTTTCTTTTTCTTTTGTTAGTCCATCCTTTCCCGTACTCTTTGTCACTGAGCCACAGTAGGGCTAATTAGTACAAAAACATTAACTGTAAACTTTACTATTGAGAAATGTTTTTGGCTGGGTGCAGGGTTCACACCTCGAGTTTCAGCTATTTAGAAGAGTTGAAGCAGGAGGATTGCACATTTGAGCCTGGCCTGAGAAACTTGGCAAGACCTTGTCTTATAAACTAAAAAGGGCTGGAAATGCAGTCCTGTGTTGATGCACCCTTATCTTCAGAACTTAAAGTTACCAAAATAAAAAAAGGGAAAGAAATATTTGTGATTTCTGTATTTCAGGTTTCATTTTCTTCTAATTCTAGTCAAGGATGGATGCACTGGATTATTATTAAAATAATTAACTGGGTCCTTTCTGTCCATGGACACCCTAGGAAGGATCTTTAGTCTCTCTCTCCCCATCATGTCTAAGAGTCTCATAAAGAGCCCAGACAACTGAAAGCCCCTCACCAGAGGATTGAGCCTTGAAACAACCAATAAAAGTCTGAGGAGCCATGTGAGCAGAGAACATTCCTTGACTGTGTGGTAATGAGAGATTTAAACACTAGAGTGCTCAGAGGCTTTGTGTTCATCACTTATGATACTGTGGAGTAGTAGATGCAGCCATGAGTACAAGGCCCATACAGATGGATAGAAGAGTTTAGAACCAAAGAGGGCTGCATTGAGAAGATCTCCAAAACCAGGTGCCCACTTCACTGTGAAAAGGATCTTTTTTGGTGGCATTAAAAAAGACACTTAAGAATATCACCTGAGAGATGAGTTGAACAATAAGGAAGACACGAAGGGACTGAAATCATGACTGACTAAAGCAATGGCAAAAAGAAGGAATTTGCTGCCCGGGATTTAGCTCAGTGGTGCAGTCCCTGCCTCACAATTACAATGTCCTGAGTTCAATCCCTGGTACCAAAAAAAAAGAAGGGCTTTGCTTTTGTAATCTTCGACAATCGTGACTGAATGTTGGTGCAGATATACTATATTGTGAATGGCCACAATGAAGTGAAGAAAGAGATGAAGTGAAGCAAGAGAAGTTAAGTGAAGCAAGAGATGGTTAATGATCTGTCTAGGCAGAGAGGTCAAAATGGTTTTGGAAACTTTTTTGGTGGTCATGGAGGTGCTTCTAGTGACAGTGACAGCTTTGGTCATGGAAAATATTCAGTGATTGTGGTGGCCCTCATGACAGTTGTATTAGTGGTGGATATGGTGGCAGCAGGGTTGTGGGCTAGGGATAGGGCTAGTGACCATGGTGAAAAAACTTTTATATTGTGAAGTTGCTTATTAGTCTTCTAATACATTAGCACTACCTTATGCTATTAATTCTATAAAAGAAAAATTTGTATTCTGCTCAGTAGAAATTAGCCCTAGCTATATAATTTTGTTTTCTAATGTCTAGATACTATAAGCCAGAGTGTCCCTGTTCAGGTGCCACCTGCCACAGCCTGAGTGGCTGAGGGGATCATGGAGTGAGAAACGATGATGGGAGATTAAGGAAGACTAACATGACAGTAAAATTTGTATAGTGAGGCCAGGTGGAAGCCATTTGTCCTGATGAGACAAAAGGCTTGAATTGCATCCACAGCACCTTTATTTATAGTGTAGATAAGAAAAATGAAAGGGGATGCCTGATTGGAACAGGGAGAGTGGCTAAGGTCTGTAGGACATCATGCTTGCTTTTCTGGCAAATGGGTGGGGAGGAAGATAGTCCTCTTTCTGGCGAGGCCTTGCTCCACCACGCCCTCCCTGGTGGGAGGCAAGTTAGGCCTGGCCATAGTGATCTACAGCGCATTGCTCCCAACATTGTGTGATTTCACAGTGTGAAGATTAAGAGATCTTCACATTAAGAGATCCACAGTAGCTGTACTTTTAAGTTGTGTGTATACACACACAAGAGTTAGGGACTGACTGGCAAAGACTCAGTGATGCTAAATGAATGCCTCATCAGGGGTTTGAGAGAATTAAAAAATCCACATCCTCTAAGAAATGTATCCCTCTGCCTTAAAATGAACAAATGGAATATAAAAGTTCTCAAGTAGCAGAAACCAGGCAGACATACAAGTGTATTATATTGGAGAAATATCTCTAGAATTGAAGAAGGGAAGCAAAGCTAGAGGCTAGCCTAGGGGAGGATTAGGAGAGGAAATAGCAGTGTGACCTGGAGTGAAATAATTAACCTCCTTTTGTCTCATCCATGCAAAATGGAAGTTGTTATGCCTCACCTCGTTTCACTTAACTGTCACATTAATTTTGCAAACTTAACACTCCTATTTAACAGCTAAGAACATTACAGTTCTCAAAGAGGTAAAATAACCACCTCAGCTCCAGAGCAACCTGTGGGATAGGTTGAGGCCCCTGACACAAACGTATGTAGTTTAGTTTTCCCTGTACTCTGTTCTGCTCTATCGCCTACATTCTAACCCAGACTTGCTGATCCTGAGACCACTCTTTAGTGAACTGCCTACCTAACCACAGACACACACCCACCCACCCACCTAAGAACCTTTCAACTCAGTAGTATGACTTGGGACCCAGCTCTCTGTTGATTCCAAACCTACATGTTCTTCAGGTGTTGTCAGAGTTTTATGAAAAAAAGGCCCTGTACTTAAATCTTTGTCTTGAAATGTCTGATTTTGCAACAGAAGGTTGCTTTACTTCTGTTTTTAAAATCATGTATACCCTTACTTGTTCCAAAAAATAATGAGGTTACTACAGAGGAGAGTAAAAGACTGTCCAGTTATACTGCTATTTGAGGATTCTCAAATCCTTTCATATTATATATATTTTATATTAGATGTTTTGTAAAAGAGCTGTGAAAACAAAGGTATGCCTATTATTAAAAGAGTACGGTATTCCCTCTTTAACTATGGAGAATAAATTCCAGGACCCCCAGTGGATACTTAAAACCATAGATAATGCTGAGGGCTATTTATACTGTTTTTCCCTATACAAATATATCTGAGATAAAGTTCAATTTATAAATTAGGTACAGTGAGAGATTAATAACTAATCATAAAAGAAAACAATTATAACAGTTATATTGTATTAGACGTTATGTGAATATGATTTCTCTCCTTCCCTCTCTCCCTTGCTCTCAGATCATTTTATTGTACTGTGCGTTACTCATCCTTCTTGTGATAATGTGAGAGGATAAAGTGCCTATGTGATGAGTTGAAGTGAGGTGAATGACATAGGCTTTGTGATGTACATTAGGTTACTACATGAGAGTTACCTGCACATAAGAACTGTGATACCCTCAACAGTTAATCTGTTAACTGAGACGGATATACAGTGACTAGCAGATGGGTTGCATATACATTGTTGATATTTATACCTGGGATAGTAAGAAGCTGAAAGGCATGAGATTTCATAATACTGCTCAGAATGGTACGCATTTTAAAATATAATAATTGTTTATTTCTGGAATTTTTGAATTAATATTTTTGGACCACAGTTGACCATGCATAACTGAAACTTTGGAAAGTAAAACCACAAATAAGAGGGTACACTATACTACAGCATGTCCAGAATAGACAAATATGTAAGACATAAAGTAGGGTAGCAGTTGTTTAGAATTGGAGAAGAATTTTGAGGTAATAACTGAAGGGTACAGGCTTCCTTTTTGAGGTTCTAAAGTTGATTATTGTGATGGATAAATAGCTCAGTGTATATATTGAAATCATTAAAAAATAAAAAAAGAATGCTAGTATAGACAAGGCAGCTATTTCAGGTCATAAAAATGTAAGAGGAGGATTCTCACAAGATTTCACCCATTTCTGAGTGCATGGCAGTTGCTCTAAGGCCCAGGGAAGTGTCTTCTTTCACTCAGGGGTGTGTGTGTATATCCATCCTCAGGGTATTCTAGGCTTCAGGATATGATTAAGAAATTAGTGTGCTATGGGAATGTGAGAGACAAAGTAATGAACAAGCAACCAAGAGTGTGAGGTATCTAGCATTTAAATCATGCTTTATTGCTTGAACCCCTTTAGACAGTGTTTTGTAAGCATTAAGTCTTTTAGCTTTCCAGAAGATGCTTATACTGACTGCTTTTCTTTGTAAGTCAGATCTATTATAGTTGTTGGTATGTTTAGCCTAATTGTACATCCCAGAAACCCATTTGGTCTCTTGGTAGTGGAAATTTTAAGCCAGTTGACTTTCAGATGATACTGTTTCTTTTGTTTATGAGTTCCTCATGTGTTCATGTAGAGCTTTCATAGGTATCTTCAGTATATGGCAGAGTAGAGTAGAATGCTAGATTAATATGCTGAAGTAGTAAGAACACAGGCTTTGGAATCAGAGATGCTGTGGGTTTAAATATTTGCTTCAGCTATATAGGAAAGGAGGATCACATTCCCTCATTTCTCTTTCTACAGATTGGGGATACTGATACTTATTTCAGAGTATATATATGGATTAAATGAGATGCAGCATATTCAGAACACTTAGCACAGTGCCTGGCAGATAATGGGGTCGAAGAAAATGTTAAAGTTTTTTACCCTTTCCTTGAGGGAGACATTTCTGCTTTCTTCATCCTGTATTTTTCTTTCTAGTAAATTTATTGAATATATTCACTGTATTCCAAGTACTGTGTTTGTGTTTGGGAGTGCAGTAATGGATGTGCACAAATGAGGAAAAAGAAGTTACCTCTTTTTTATTTTATTTTATTTTTTTAGTTACCCCCTTTTTTAGATGACAGGATTGTTTGAATTCTTTTTACTCCAAGAATATTTATCAAGTTTGGTATTTTGAATATTCTTTACCTAACCAAATGCTATAATAGTAATAGACACAGTATTATCTGTATGATATGATTGGTATATATGATATTTTTACATTCATGATTTTAGTGACAGGTCAGAATTCATACCCTATATCCCTAGAAATACTTCCTGGGCTTCAGAGCTGTGCTGTGGTAATAAAATCTCCTTCTTGCCCTATATGTATCTATATCAAATATATCTCATTTGTATTTTAAAAATACTTTGCCTGATCAGCAAAAATAGCAGCATTGGAAACTCCAGAAGCCCATCCTTTTTGGCAAAAACAGTCAAAATAGTCAAAATCAACTTTAATGGAACTTTAGAAACTTGTAATCAAAAGTTTGTGTCAAGGAGCAGGGAATGTAGCTCAGTGTTGCAGCACCTGCCTGGCAAGTGAGAGGTCCTGAGTTTAATTCCTGGTACCCCCCCAAAAAAAAAGGTTGTATCAAATAAGTACATGTTTAATCAGGGAAAATTATATTAAAATATTTTTATGGACTCTTTGGAACTTAAGGTTTAGGGGAGACTTAAGTTGAACACTGAGCTTAGTATATGCCAAGGAAACTATCAGCGAATTCTTCTGACTTTGGAAAGTTAGAAAGGTCTTTCTCATGTTGATCAGAAAATCTTTTTCTCTTACTGCCTACTTGTCTCTCCATTGGAATCATACCCAAAAGTTACAGATTTGAAATGATAATGGTGTCTTTCTTGGATCTTTATCTCTTTTTCCTGACCCAAAATGTACACTATTAACACCAGCATTTTAATCCACCATCCTGTTTATTTCAGGTTGGCTTACACAACTGACAGTTTGTGTGATGTCTAGGAAGATCATTTCTGTGTGTTTACTTAGACTTATTCATCCATCAAATGCCTGTGCTCAGAAAGGCTTTCCATATTCTCATTTCACCTCAGATTTTTCATGATGCTCTCTTTCATATCTTTTTTTTTTTTTTTTTTTTTTTTTTTTTTTTTTTTTTTTGGTTTTTTTGAGACAGGGTCTCATTATGTAGTTGAGACTAACCTGGAACTCACTATGTAGCCCAGGCTGGTCTCAAACGCACAGCAATCCTTTTGTCTCAGCCTCCTGAGTGCTGGGACAGGCATATGCCACCATGCCCAGCTTCTTTCATATCATTTCTGTATTTTCTGTGTACTTTTTTGTTGCACCCTTTTACTTTCACTGTATTAATTTGTCTGCCTTGCTGAACTTTGATTTCTTGAAACCTAGACCAGTGATGGCAACCTTTTAGAGACTGAATGCCTAAGCTGCAACCCAAAACCCACTTACTTTTTGCAGAGTGCCAACACTGCAAATAAGCCTGAATACTGAGGTTTTAGTTTAGAAAAAAAATTGTCATCTGACACTCAGCTGCTGAGGAAACTTGGCTCACATGCCAATGGAGGGTTTTGCATGCCTGCTGTGGCACGCATACCATAGGTTCACCACCACTGACCTGGACTATCTCATTCTTTTCTTTATTCTCAGTGCCTGGGTAGTATCCATCAGTGCTTGGCATATACTAAGTATGTAATAAATCTAAGTAGAGTGGGTGAGAGTTGAGTGGGAAACAAGGATGAAAAAAAGAGATTAATTATAGTCTTGGGAGCAGGTGACAGTTATCTGCATGTGACTGTAACAGTAAGATTCACATATAGTGCTGAGACAGCTACATAGAAAGTTAGACCCCCCCAACTTGACACCATACATAAAGTTTAACTCAGTGAATCAGAGATCTAAATGTATAGTAGAGCTATAAAACCCATAGAAAACATTTGGGGATACTTAGGTACATAATAATTCATCTCTTACAGCATTTATCATGCTGTCATATAGTGAAGTTCAACATGCAGTATGGGTATTAATGGAGTTTGATTTTGGTTGTAACATCCAATGTAGTAGGAAAAAAATGTGTCCTTGAAGTCTCTTAAATCACTGGGATTTGGGCCTTCAGAAACTCAAATGTAATGGATTAAGAAGAGACTACATTTAGTTTTGACTCCCTATGTAAAAATACAGTGCTCTGCTGTGCATTTTGTAAATAACTTCAATATTTGTTTCATGGCCAATTTAAGTTTCTTGGGGAGAGGTTCAGGTCTGATGAAGAAAATTTTATTTGTAAAGGAGATTTAAATATACTCTATTAAGAAAAGTGAAATATCCCTCTATCTCTTTAGCATGGGCAAAATAGCCATTGGCCTTGGCTTCTTTAGGCAGTGTGTGCTTTAGAAACAAGAGCTTGAACCAGAATTCCTTTTTTTTTTAAAGTAGGGTTTGTTCTTACAATGTGTTTTGTTAATAAATTAACTCATTTTCTGTTGTAGCTGCCCAAGGGAATTGTCTTTCTTGGTGAGTGGCCTCAAATGTGCAAAAGAGATTGTCATCTTTTTCCTAAACTAGTATATGGACTAATTTTGACTGTTTGTCTTTTATTCTTTTTTAGGAAGCTAAACTCCAAGGTGCAGAGGAGTCAGAGTTGCAGTGACACAGCTCAGGACAGAGTGAAGAGCAGACTGAGAGCAGCTCCAACCAAAAAAGCCAAGGTACATCTCCGTCACAAACTGGCAGGTTCTCTAGTCCTCCTACTTCAAGCCATGGAGAGATTGTTCTAGATGAGGAAGTAGAATGGGTCCCAGGCATACCATATTGGTTATGTCAGAGGATTCTACACAAGATGTGAAGGAAGGTTTAAATCAGTAGTCAAATGGGTAGTATGAGAGCCATTAGAGAAAGCCTTTAACAGCTCTAGCCTGGTAAAAGCCTTTAATCTCAGCATTCTGGGAGGAGGCAGGAGGGGCACAAGTTTAAGAGCAGCCTGGGCACTTTAAGAAGACCATGTCTCAAAAGGGAGGTGGGGTTCTGAGGATGTGGCTCAGTGCAAAGACCCTGGGTTTAATCCCTAGTACCATATAAAGAAGAAGAAAAAAACTGACACCTTTAGCTGAATTTGTTTTTCCTTCAGATTTTTAAAATGCTATTGTTTCAAGTGTTTAAGAGTTTCTGGTAAATAGTGTGCTTTAATTTAGGGATTTTCCCCATTTCTTAGGCTCACATTACCCTTTATACCTTTTCTTGTCCTTCCCTTCTTCATCCCTCTACCATCTAAAGGAATTATGTAGAAAAAAAATACATGTGTGTATGTATAATCTTTTTAATCTCCTCAGGTCACAACTATGACTTCAGCCTCCAACCCCATCATTGGAGTCCTTTTGTCTACTCAGAACAACCGCTGTCTCTCGGCCCCTGACTTGACCATTGAAAAGCGTCTGCCCTTCAGTTCCTTCTCATCTTTGGCTTCCCTGCATAAGCCAGAGCGCTCCATTAGCCCTGAGAGCAATGACAGCATCTCCGAAGAACTAAACCATTTCAAGCCCATTGTCTGCTCACCCTGTACTCCTCCCAAGAGACTCCCTGATGGCCGTGTATTAAGTCCCCTCATCATCAAGTCAACACCTCGCAACCTGAACAGAAGCCTGCAGAAGCAGACTTCTTATGAGGCCAGTCCACGGATCCTCAAAAAGTGGGAGCAGATTTTTCAGGAGCGACAGATCAAAAAGACCCTTTCAAAAGCCACTCTTACCTCCCTGGTCCCTGAAACAGGGGAAGACTTACTAAATTCTGAAGTTATCCATTCTAGCAAAGAGAAGCCACTTCTGGCTTTAAATACAAGACTATCCAGTGGGCAGATGCTTTCTGAGTATACTGGACCCACTTGCACTGACCCTGAGTATTTCCCCTCTGTTAGCCAAACACAGGCAGCACAGGGCAGTGATAGTAAAAGAAGCACTGAGATCCCATTGGAAACCTGTTCTTCAGAACTCAAAGAGGGAATCAGAGGGACTTATTTGAAGGGGGAGCAACTTGAGGGATCACGGTCAACCCCAGAGGCTAAGTTAGACAAAACCTGTATAAGCACAGCCATGAAAATATCAGCAGTTAATTCAGTGGTACCCAAAAGCAATATTTTGGGTGGGGTCCTCAAAACAAAGAAACAGCTGAAGACATTAAATAATTTTGATCTGGCTAATGGTGTTCTGGTAGACAGCCTAGGTGAGGAACCACTTCCTTCTTTGCGTCGAGGGCAGAAAAGACGTTGTAAAACCAAGCACCTAGAACAAAATGGCTCTCTCAAGAAACTGAGACAAACCAGCAGTGAGGCCAGTCTGGCCCCAACAGACCCAGTACTGCGAGAGATGGAGCAGAAATTGCAGCAAGAGGAAGAGGACCGACAGTTAGCTCTGCAGTTGCAGCGCATGTTTGACAATGAGAGACGGACTGTGAGTCGCCGAAAAGGAAGCGTGGATCAGTATCTCTTACGGTCCAGCAGCATGGCTGGGGCCAAGTAGCACTTAATGAACAGTGTTACCTATTTTTAAGTGATCTTTGGTCTTGATCATTTATCTGAAGAGTTGAGTGTTCTCACTTTGGGTTTCATTTAATGCAAAATACTGTCTAATATGGTTTTGAGAGGTACTGAGGCCTTGTTAGTCAAAATCCAAGGCAACTGCATCTCTGTTATTTGTGACCCAAGCCAGAAGCACTCATCCCCTGAGTGACACCCCCACCCCCATGCTTCTGGGCCACATCTGGCAGTACCCACTTGGAATAAGATTTGGAATGGCCTCATTTAGAAGCATAATGATCAGAGTTAGAAATAGTAATGGAAAGAGGGGATACCTTCTTAAACTGATGACCTCCTGACTTCTTTCAACAGGGTGTTGTTTTAAATCAACTTTGCAGATAAAAATTAATTCCATCTTTTTCAAAAAAGAGGAGCAGTCTAATATTTTGGAAGATCCAAAATAACAGATTATGTTTCTCTTTTTCCTTCCCCTCACCACAAATAACAATACCTACTTAAATTGGGTAAGCATATGCTTCTCTGAAAGTTAATTTATGTTCTCTGTTTAAAAAATAACGTATGATTAATGCTGTACAGTTGGCAGAGCACATTCGTAGACATTTTTTAATTTGGTCTCCCTAAGAGACCTAATTTGTAAGTGGTATTAGCCCCGTTTGTAGAAGATGAAACTGCAATGCAGGTGTTCTGGTTCTCTCTACTAAATGACATAGCCCAGACTGACTACTCAGTCTCCTGACAACAAATCCCATGGATTTTCTACACTAACAGGTTACACGCAACCCAAGATCATGATAGGGGTACCTAGGGAGAGCTGGCCAGGCATGGACCCCGATAGTATAAAGTCTACATGAAAGTAGTTAAGATTGATAGATGTACAAATATATTCTGTGCAATTCTGCCCTCTCCCCCCAGTTTACAGTCTTCTGTTTTCCTAGGGGTTCCAGCCTATGAGACAAACCACAATGGGGCTTCATTATTACTTTCCACATAGGTAATAATTATCTGCAATGTTGATCTAAAATCCTAAAAAATTGCCCCGAAGTCAGGCAAACCAGTGCTGAAACTCCATACTATGGAAACGAGGTATCTAGCTGGATGCAGCTGGTAAATTCAGTCCCATGGACCTTTGGGGTTTATTTTTCTTAGCAGCTGACACCATGTGTCTTTTGCATCCCTGGTGGTGCTTGGTGCTTCTGCCCATCTGGGCTCATTGAAAATAAGGATTAAGATAGGATTTTAGGGAATCTCAGATGGGCTGGTATTCCCTGTGTACGTATGAGCTGTTATTATACTTATGTGACTGGCATTTTAACAAACCTTCCAGAATTTATATATTCCTATGTATGCTCTCCTACAGTAGTCCCAGCAGGATACTGCGTAGTTTTTCCAATGATGCCTCCTTTGATGAAATACATTTCTGAAAGTGTCTTCAAAGTGTAAAAACATTTAAAGACACAGACTCACTTCTAAAGTGCTAGAACTGGAAGAGACCTTAATGATTGTCTGTTCCAACCTCCTCCTTTTACTAAGGCAGAGGCTGAAGTCCAGAACAGACTCACCACTCAAGGGAATATCTATAACACCTTCTCAGAGCAGATGTTCAATCTTTTGGAGTTATGAGAAGTTTAAGTTTGAAAATAGTCAGAAGCTTCTTGAAACCTCTGGGAAAGAAGGTGTGTTTATTAAGAGGGTTTGGAGTCATAAATGAGGCGCCACTATTGTAATGCACTCAGAGCCATTTTCTTGTGCAGCTCATAGTTCCCAAACAGCTCCCAAAGAGAAATTCCAGAGATACCTGAAGCATTGTGATCATCACTGAGATCTGTGGGTCTTTCCAGTGACTACTTTGGTGGGGAACATCCTCACCTGAATGTATGTATTCTGTGTGTGTGTGTGTGTGCGCGCGCGTGTGCATGCGTATGTATGGACACTTGTATGTACACATGTATGTTTATAAAGGCATACATCAGTCTCATTACTTTATATTCACACCACTTCATTTCTAGGTCCTACACAACTTATGGCCTCCAAGAGCTGCTATAGGGGCATGTTAGTACCCAAAATAGAAGAGCTGGCACTGATCTGAAAAGGACAGGAAAGGTGACCTTAACAAATGCCCATAGAGAAAATTTAACTATTACTGCCATTTCATGTGTTTCTTTTTTGATCCTAGTAAATATTGGAAGGCTGTCTTATTGGTGATAGCAAAGACACTCATTTTTACTTCTTGCTATCTTTTTTTTATAGCTCCAATAATTTGAAAAACACTTTAGAAAAACACTTTCCAGTTGGAATTGATTCTTTGTTTTGGTAAAAAAATATTTTAATAGATGAAAGATATATTTTAAATATTTCCCCATTAATACTTTCACTTTAAGAACCTGCATAGCGGTATCAACAAGTTTAGACTTTATATGCAGAGTAAAAAGCTTTCTTGGGCTGGGGATTTAGCTCAGTGGTTCCACCGCCTGCCTTGCAAGTGAAAGGACCCGAATTTGATCCCTGATACCAAAAATAAAAAATAAAAAGATATTTCTTGTTAAGTGAATGTTCTAAACACTAGGTCTAGCTTAGTGTCTGTCCACATACCTACTGTGATGCTGAAGATGGTAGAGACAGTTATTTTCCACACTTCCTGCTGTCAAATATAGGCAGAGCTGTTTAGTTTAAGGAGGAGAGAGACTTAATCTATTATCTGCTCAGCTTTGGAGGAAGGGGGGAAAACCACTAAGCTATTTGTATTTTAAGATGCTTTGCATACTTAAACTAAAAAATGCTTTTTATTTCTGAAGAATTTTCTTTTTTTTTTTTTTTGAATGAGAGATTTATTTCGGTTCACAGTTTCAGAGGTTTCAGCCTATGGTTGGTTCCAAGGCAGGAACAATGCAGGAAAAGGTAGTGGTGGAGGAAAGCTGCTCAACTTACAGCATTAGGGAAGCAAAGAGCAGGGAAAGAGCCTGTCTTAGTTACTTTTTTCTCATTGCTGAGACAAAATACCCACACCCAAAGTTAAAGGGGGAAAGGTTTAGCTCAGTTTGTAGAGGTTTCAGTCTTTAATTGGCTAACTCCAGGGCAGCGTGGCTTGGTAGAGAGACATCACAGAGAAGTTCATGCAAACAGAAGACAGCAAAAAGCAAGCAAGCAAGGGAGGCCAGCCTCTTTCTGTCCCTTATATTCTTTCCAGTATACTGGAATTAGGGTGGTGCCAAATCAATCAGTGGACTGATTCAGTAATCACACTTAATCCCAGCACATGCTCTAGATTCTACCACCTTTGAAAAAGTCCCACCTATGACCATATGAAGCGTGGGGGACATCTAAGCACAAACCATAACAGAGCCCGAGAGGAAGGGTCTAGGGACCACATACAGAATTTCCATCTCTTGTTTCATTGTCAAGTTGGTCACAAGAGTTGTTGACATAGGTTCTTGGGGGTCAGGGTGGGATGAGGGAAAGACAAAACCAAATGATGGGGAACACTGGTAAGCTAGAATAAGAAATACAGTATTTCACATATCAAGCATTTAAAAATAATTGATGCTCAAGTCATTATACAAACTTCCCATGTCTTACTGTTCTTATGAACTATTTTTTCTTATTAAAGGGAAAGTCATGAGAGATGCAAGGATGGGGGTCATTCTGGTGGGAGGTTCAAGAAATGTGGCACCCTCAGAAGGGTGTTCTTAGCTCTTTCCCATAGAGAAGGTAAGACACTTTGGGGAACATGTTCCATGACCCATCGATTGTATCTGTTAGAAGATATCTGGGCCTGTTGGGTTGGCATCAACTCAGAGAGGGTTAGGCACCCAGACCCCTAGCTCCTTTAATTGCCCGTTTAAAAAAAAAGTAATTGCTATCTGATTACAACTAGCAAACTAAAATGGGACTGCTACTGTTCTCTGGTGCAACTGACTAGAGGCTGTGCTTTTCATCCTTTCAGTCCCTTTGGCAGATTACTTCTTAGGCTCTTAAATTTGTGCCAACCCTGTGCTGGGCTGTGGAGATTCAAAGATGGAAAGATGGTCCCTGACCTTCAGGCACTCATGTCCAATGGAATATATTTGAATGTGTGTGTAGTTGGGAGAGTGTGTTAATGGTCTTAAGAAAGGCCATTTCTTTTATAACAGTGTTCTTTGATGGTTGTGTTTAGGATGCCCTGAACCGAGCAGGCTGCCTTGAACATTTTTTAGAGACCCATCAGTATTTATGAAATTGATCATAACATTGCTTTCCATTCCCTAAGTAATTTTACCAGGGGAGAATGAATCTTCTCCTATAATTATGGAACAGTATAACCTCTCCTCAAGAGCAGCTTTTAGTTCAAGCACCAAGAAATGAGGCATGTGCAGATTACTGGTCACAGGTGGCCCATTCCTCATTTTAGTAACCACCTAATCTCTTCCCCATCCTGAGCTCTCATTAAAGCTGGTAGCAACTTGGGGGGCTCTTCAGTACAGCCGGAGGCTGGAGGAAGAAAAATAAAGGCTACCTTACAAGTATAATATATTCTAGAATAGGCATGGAAACCATCAAACTTCCCCTATCCCTCTTTTTTCTTTTTTAAAACAAATGATCCAGTGCCCTGTGTACTATCTTATGTGTAGTGTTTTGGGGCCTGAAGAAATAATTAAAGTTGTGTATACAACACGATTTGCAAATGAAGGGGACCACCCATATGTTGGAACTTTCAAAAATAGCTCTTAGGATTTTTTTTCAGTTAAAGTGTACCCATATCCCCTGAATATATACTCAGGTAAAGAAAAGCCCCACAGTGTAATACAAATATATAATCCCAAGAAGAGACATATTTTGGCTATAATGATTGCCATTTTACCAACAGTCAAAAGCTAGTGAGCCATCAGTTTTTTTCAAAATTGGAAACTCCTTTGAGTCTTAAATCTTTTGTTAGCTTTTTCCTTGTCAGCCCATAGATGGTCTTTTGGCCTGGTCATTAGGTTGAACATGGCTTATTATGAATTTTGGGGGCTCATGAGAAAGCAGGTCTATGGGGAGGTGGGGAACAGATTCAAGGGAATGAAGCTGCTGAATAGAGTTAGGGTGGCCCAGAAATGCATCTATACATGTTCATCATCCACTATAGCTTTCTGAAGATTTGGTCTGTAGAGACTAGAGATATACAGAGCTCACCAGTTTAGAGATTAATCAAATTAGATGAAAAAGTGCCAAAACAATATGCAGATTGTTCTATGTATTATCAGTATTTTTTTCTAAGAAAAGTACTCCCTTCTTTCTGAGTACATGCTTCTTTCATATCTTAACAAGAAGGTGGCAACTTGTAACTATGTGAGAGGAAACCTCGAACTCGGAGCAGACCCTCCTTACCCTTTTCTGTCTTAAAGACATGGACACAGCCAAGGCTAGGCAAGGCTTGTTCCTCTTTCTATAATTTCACTTAATAGGAGGTACAGACAATGTACTCTTCAAATATAAAGCCCTTAACAGCTCAAGAGTAGCTTTTGGCTCTGGTTCCAGATGAACGTGGCAGCAGTCAGCTTCTCCCTGGTTGACACTGCCTACCCTCCAAGCTGTGCACCAGTGGGAGCAGGGACTCTCAGCCAAGTTTGTATCAGACCTGATAATCACTAACCCTGAGCCTCCCAGCAGAGCACTTAAGTCCTAGTAAGAGAATAGGTACTATGCAAGGGAAAAAATGATTATTTTAAATGCCAACTAACAGATTTTTTTCTTTTTATGTCTGATGTGCTGTTTACTCAATTCTTTGTACAATACAGTTGTCCAAAGGGCCTTTCCCCCTTCTGCCTAGAAATAGAAAATGGTTGTCGGTTTTATTTAACCTTCTACAGCTCCCTGGTGGTCTAGTAGTTACAACTTATACAACCTGTGTCTACATTAGAATTGGAGAAGAGGCCTGGATCCTTGGGGACTGCCACTTCAGGATGTCACCTCCAACTCATAAAGATCATTTTGACAAAGATTTGGAAAAGGCCATGCCCTATCAGGGATGCTTTTGCCGCAATGAAATGGTGTAGAGTCAAGTGGGATGATGTGTTGTTTATTTACAGTACCAAAGTGCATTCTTCAATGTGTATTTGCCTGCTTGAGGCAACGCCCAAGTTGAGAATACAGTAAAGCAAATTCATGAAAGTAATGTTGTTTCTAATCAAATTCTTATCTCTAGACTGCAGTCTCAGACAAATATGGGATAAGCTTAGACTGTGTTGTTAGACTTTTGGTGCTCTTTGTGCTGGGCAATACCATCAAAAGTCCTGCTCTGGCCCTCAGAATGGTGGGAAAGGTTAGGAAGTGGGATGGAATTAACATACACAGTGTACATCTTTTAATGTAAGTTATCTACTACAGTTTGTCATCACATATCCCTAACGAAGACACCAAGAAAGAGTCTGAATAAAGAATGAATGTGTAGGGGCTGGGGATTTAGCTCAGTAGTTCTGCCACCTGCCTCGCAAGTGCAAAGACCTGAGTTAGATCCTAGGGCTGTACTTCAAATTTTTTAGAAAACATCCTTTTTGGGGGAACAATTGTTCAGGGATTCAAAATACTCAGCATCAGTTTTTCATCCAACAAGAATGCATGTATTCCTTTTCTATCTAAAGTTGAGAAATTGATCTGGAAGACTTTTAGGAGTAAATATCATATGTGGTAAACTAGCACTTGAAAGACCTTTGAAATAATCTGGCCCAAGACCTTCAAAAGAAAGCTGGCTGAAATAAACATTGCAGTTAGTTGGAAATGAGATAACAGTACTTGGTTGTCTCTTAGTCCCTAAACTAACAAACTACTCTGTGTGCCACTCATTAAATTCCTTACAGCTAGGTATGATAGATGCAATGGTCCTCATTTGCAGGTGGAAACTCTAGACTGAACAGTTCTTCATAATCTAGAAGCCTCTGATACCCAAAGCTGCTAACTGCTTTTTCTGTCTTGGCCTAAGCCAACCTTAGAGTGATCCCACCCTCTACAACTATCCTTGGTTGACAGTGTGTTCCAGTTGTTTTCTGGGATAGACACCCATACACCCCACTCTGCTGCCTGGGCTGGGACTGGCAGGGATAGAGACCACACAGTCTTGTCTCTGCACCCATTGTAGAGGAGGGAGGCATTCTAAGGCAGCAGGGATGTGAGACACAATTTGCATTACTTCACCTCTCTTTTGGCCACATGTCACTCCTAGAGTGCTCACTGGTGTCTTAGATCCATGACCAGAAAAACAGTTCAGTTTGGAAAGACTAAAGAACACCTGAGCTACAGCTGAAAGGATGTGTAAGAAAGAGTACCACATGGTCTTGTCAGGTCTTCCTAGAGAAGGGGCAGTCACTGGATACTGGCTTCCTTCTTGGCAGTCCTTTCTGATAGCATTTGATTATGTATGAGGGGAAAATCTACCACTTGCTACAGCCTCCATGATGAGAAAGCTAATCAGATCAGAAATTTGGAATGAGCAGCAGAATCTCAGCAAGTCTAGAAGCAACCAATTTATTTATCCTTAACTGAGAAAGTAGTGTTTGGCCAAAGTGTTCCCCTTCAGGATATTCTCACGTTAATGAAATGTTGACTTGGGTGGGCAGACAGCACATATACTTTTGGCTGAAAAAGAACTAGGACCACTGAGGCACATAGGCAGTACAGCTCAGTGGCTTGAACAACAAAGGAACAGCTTTCCCAACAAAGGAAAGGACAGCCTTTTGTGGGGAACAAGCTCCCAGTCACTAGATGTATACACAGTATCTCAACTACTAGGGAGTTCTGAAGCTGCCTTCCTTGACTTTGGGATGGACTTGCTCAGGAGCCTTGTGGGCCTGCAAGCCTATGGTTTGATAGAATTTATGGCTGAAAATACAGTCCAGGTAGCGCTCAGAACTGGAACCTGGTGAGTGTGACAGTGTGGAAGGGCAGTTCGGGGCCGCGGGAAATTCTAGCTGGTCAGCAACATTCCTGTGCATAGGCTGCTGTTGGGACTTACAGTATATTACCTGCATCTGTTCAGGTGCCTGTATCAAGAGATACACATTTTGTCACTTGGTGTGACCCGTGTAGCATGCTGTAATGAGGAATCTGTGTGGGAGGGGCATAGCTGAGTAGAAACATTTATTTAACTGGCTACACTTGTGAGACTGTGGTTGAGTACAATAGTATGCAAATATTTAGTTACAGTTTAGGTAGTGGGGAACTGCCTTGTGGAGGATCCTTAATTCTTGTGCCACTGCTTCTTAGACGCTGGGAACTGCAGACCTGCTACCAAGGTCTGAATTATAGGCATCCCCAGGAGAGGAGAATGGGTTGCCTATGTGACTAGGTCATACCCAGCATCATCCCTGGAATACAGGCCTTCTCCATACAGGTGCTGCTGCCTACTAAGCATACATCAAGCATGGGGCAACTCCACAGCCCACCTTTTCACAACTGTTTACTTACTGGAAGCCCCTGTGACTTTGCACAGCCCCAAGGTGTGTTTTGGAGGCTCAGCCTACGTGTTTGCTTCTGTATCTTTAGCTTGTGTCTTGGATTACAGGAAGGGCCCTGGGAAACTCCACATAAACCCTCCCTGCTTGTCCCACCTTTGTGACTGTGGCCATCTAATAAGGGACCACTCAATCTCCTCTTTCTCATTACCATGGAAAAAGCTGCCCAACAGAAAAAGCACATTTCAGGGTACTATAGACCTTGGTTTTGCCTCCCTGTGTGGTACAGCCCGTGGGCAAAAATCATTACCTTCTGCACCTTAGATTCTGTGCTGCTACTGTTCCCATCCCATTTCTGACCTAACACTTTTCACAGCTGTTTATGCACGATTCCACTGAGTTTCCCACAGGACCTGTGAGATGAATGCACCAGCAAGGACTTCTCTCCAATGTGACAATGTCGCTGTGGTCCTGGCCCGGCTTTCAAGGAAGAATGCCTGGCGCCCACTCAGCAGCTCTAAGTACTCACTCTTTATTGCTGCTGGGCCAGTGGAGAGGTCCTGACAAGCCCCCCACTCTGCGACCAGTGAGCAAGGTCAAGGCAAGCTCGGAGGCCCGCTCAGGACCCAGCTGGGCACGTTCAGGGGTGCAGAGGCCTTGGGGAGGATGGGGATGCTGGCCAGGCAGCACATACGACTCACGTGCAGCTCTAGGTTTTTGAGTCACTGGATATGGGCTCCTGGCAGAACTCATCCATGAACTCAAGGAAGCGGCCAAACTTGGGTGAGCTCTCGCCGGGCGCCTGCAGGGCTGGGGTCGGTGGAGTGGCCCCAAACACAGTCCGCAGAGAGCCGCGCACCAGCCGCCGGTAGCGCGCCTGGAACTCTTTGAGCAGCCGCTTGGCCTCCAGGTACTGCCTACGGTTCACGAGCCTTGGCTCTGCCTGCCCGTGCAGCACGGAGCCTGTAGAGAAGCCTGGGTGCAGCTAAACTCGCCAGTCTCCACCCAACCAGAAAAGAGGTGAAAGTGGTGTGGAAAGAGAGGAGAAGGTGAAAGGGACTAAAAATGGTCTTTGTAGCTTGGGGCAGTGCGAAGTCCCCGACTCTTATCTCCAGCCTAGGTGTAGGTCCCTAACATGCTGTTTGATTTTAGACAACTCCCACCCTCAAGCCCAGTCTTGTTTCTCCATCTGTACCCAGACCTGAGAGAGCAGGGGTACAGGCCCTCCAAGGGCCCTTCCTGTTCCCACAAGCCCTTTCTCTGCCTCACACACCGGGCTCCTCGACGGAGGCAGAGCCATACCTAGTGGAGCCTCTGTAATGTTCCGGGGATCCTGCATTCGAACGAGGATGTCATCCAGCAGCTCGGCTCGAGTTTTCCGTGGGGGTGGAACAGGAATCCTCGGGGGCTGGCGGAAGGTAAGGAAAGAGGGTGGTATCCCCGGTTGGTTTGCAGCCTTTCCTGTCCACCTCATATAGTCAGGGCAACAGGCAGGGGCCACTGGGGAGCACTGAGAAATGGACCTCAGTGGGTCTCAAGTGACAGCCACATCTCTGCCTGTGGGGGTCCTCTGGGATCTTTCTCACTCAGCAGGCTGGATACGAACCTTCTTCTCCCTGGGAACATAGTGCTTCTGAAAAGAGTCCAGCTTGGGCTTGGAGGAGCGGTAGATGAGTGGGTGCTTGAGCATCTGCTGCAGGGCTTGTGCATTCTTCTGGATGCCTGGGGCAGGAAGGTAAGATGAAAACCCCACCCCCAACTTCCCTGGCCTTACAGCAGCCCTGGGTAAAAGGATTTGAGAGTCCTCAAGAAGAAAATACTGCTCCCAGATTTCCCAGTGCCCCACAATTCCATCAGTGGCCATGTGAATACGTCCCCTAGGAGCACAGATCCAATGGCAACAGCAATGGCGAGACTGCCCTAACTTGACCCCCTTAACCTCAGGGGGTTATACAGTAGCGACTGACACCTAGTTGATGGCCACTTCCTTTGGAAGCATAGATGCTCTTAACACAGTAGATTAAAATAAAGTGCTCATAGAGGGAGCCACCTTGCTTGCCTCAAACCCAACAGGGGATTTGGGATGTTCAGTTTGGGGCATAACAGGGCTGGGAAGATCTCCAGAATCTGCCCAGTTTGAGGTTTGTTCATCAAACTGTTCATGGGGACGGGCTGTTCTAACTACAGTAGCTGGGCTAGACCAGCTGGAATCTCTGAACAGGGTGGTGAAGGCCCAGCAAAGAACAGGGATCTTGCCAAGGATGAATTAAAATCAGGACAACCTAAGCGGTCCTGTGACATTTGGACACTGGATCACAGAGCAGCTGGAAAAAGCAAGCTCAGTAACAGCAGGCTTGGCTGTGACCTGTCTGGGGCTTCAGAGATGGCCCCTGGCCCTCACATACCTTTTGGCTCAACAAAGGCTGGATCAGGTTTGGTTGTCAGCAGTTCCTCATATCCATGGTACTTGCTGGGAATGGAGGAAGATGGGAGCTTCCTCTGAGTCTTTACCTTGGAAGGTACTGTTACCAGTCTCCTTTGGTCTTTCTCCTTTACCTCTATATCACCCACACGGGTGATGAAGGAAGGCAGCTCACTCACCTATGTCAGGAAGGAAACACATCCACTCATGCCTGCATCCATCTGACCACTGGCTCTGTGCTGGTCTCCATGTGGGGCACCTGTTTAAGGCAAGACTAAGACTAGGGTCTGAGAGAGCAACAGGAAGACAGATAAGAACCAAACACTTGGTTGAATGCTGTTAACAGAAGGAAGCACTGTAACTCCAGGTGATCCCAGAGGAAGCCCGACCTAGCCAGCAAGCTCTCTTGAAAGGAGTGATTCCCTAGCCTGGGCTCAGTCTTGAAGAACCAGGAGAACTGTCCCCAGATGGACAGGAAGAGGGGTAGTCTGCAAGAGATGAGAAAGGATGGCTGTGGTGGGCAAGGAACAATACCCGCAGAGGTGCCATCAGGGTATTTTTGGAGACTAAAACTGGTACAGCTGGAGAGCGATGTCAAGTGACAGGCAAGAATGATGTGCAAGGCACAGGTCCATAAGAACCTTCAAGGCCAAGCTGAGGGTGTTTTGTATTTTCTTTATTCTCATTCTTACGGCAAGCTAGGAAGGATTTTAGCCTACCCAAATGGTTTTATATGAAACATGTACTGCCCAGGCACGGTGGTGAATGACTAGCATGTCAGCACTCTGGGAGGCTGAGCCAGGAGGATCCCTAGTTCAAGCCCAGCCCAAGCAACTCAGCAACTTAGCAAGACTCTGTCTCAAAAAATAAAAAGTCTTGGATGTAGCTCAGTGCTAGGGGCCTGGGCTTGGTACCACCAAAAACAAACAAACAAACAAATAAACAAAAAACAGGAGAAAAAAAGAAAAAATTTTATAGTTTATGAATTTATATATCCCATGTGAATTAAAGAAAGAGATGGACAGAGAATTGGATATGAATGGGTGGATGGACAGATGGCTATACATATTGAAAAGATCTGGCCATGGGCAGACTGGACAGGCAAGATTGGAAGTAGATGAATCATATAACAATATAGCTTAAGGGGACCCTGCCACCTCTTCCAGTGTTCTACTGGTTGAGGATCCCTTATTTGAAATATCTGCATCCAGAAGTGTTTCAGATTTTGGAATATTTGCATATACATATTGAGATAGGTTGAGGATGGGACCCAAGTCTAAACACAAAATTCATTTATATTTTATATATACATTATGCACATAGCCTGCAGGTAATTTTATACAATATTTTGAATGATTTTATGCATGTAACAAAGTTTCATGGTGTGGGATTTCCCACTTGTGGCTGTGTTGGCACTTCAAAAGTTCTGGATTTGAGATTTCAGGTACTCAGATTAGGGATGCTTAAGCTGTATTTCCCCTTCCCTGAACACCACCCTCTGCTGGAGTGATGTTTAATATTCCCAGTTCCTGCACCTTCCACTTTAATTTCCTTCCTCTGCATCCTATTTCATCCTGTCTCTTCTGCCTGTATCTTTTCCTTGCTAACTTTTATTCAGCCCAAACAGCTCAGCTCATGTGACCCTTTGGAGCCCTCTGGGTCTGGGATGAACTCCTTTCTCCAGGCCCCAGCCCCAGACTGCAGGCTTGTTCCTTGCCATCTTTTCCATTAGACTTTGAGCACTTCAGAGGAGAGCGAGCATCTGAGTTGACTGAATTGCAGGATCCAGAGGCAGCATCAGAAGTGGGGTGATGTTAAATGGGAGTCAGGGGCAGCAACAGACTCCTCTAAAAAACTGATAAGCACCACACCCCAATTAGACCCCACATGCTGCCTGTGCCTCAGGACCAAGACTCGTCCCCATGGGTGTCCCCATCAGTAGCCTCAGATCAAAGGGGTCTTGCAAGCTTTGCCAAGGCTGCTGCCTCCTGTTTCCAGCCTGCCCTGTGTGTGGCCTCAGCTGCCCACAGCAGTCCCACTAACTAAGGGCTTGGCAGGAACCTGTGGACACTGTAAATAGTGGGCAGTGGATTGTTCGTAGGCACCTGGGTCAAGAAGATAGACTCTGTGCTCTTGGTGTCCTCATCTGATCGGTGCTCTGGGCTGAGGCAGCCAGCTGTTTTCCCCGGACGGGACATGGTCTCTTCACTGTGCACTGTGGAGTTAGAGCTGATAGGAGCCAGCGGCACAAAGCTCCGACTGGACAGGTTAAGGCCTTCCGGGCCCTCGATGTGCGGATGTGTCTCCACAGAAGTGCTTCTGACGGGGGGCAGCTCTTCAGCCAGCCCTGCCTCTGGTTCTAACAGATTCCAGGAGGGAGACTGGATGGTGGTCAAAGGTGGGTGATGGAGCAACAGAGGCTGCTTTGGCACCTTGGGGACTTGTGTTTTCACCTGTCACGGGAGAAAGACTAGATTGGATTGGCTTCCCAGTCAGGAGTCTCTTCCCTCGGGCTTCACCAGCCTCAGGTCATGTGTAGAGTGGTCAGAGCACCACTCCAGGGAGAGGTAGGGAGGGAAATCACACTCACGGGGCATCTATCATATGCCCTGTGCATAGCATAATTCTTGTATTATTTATATGTCAAAACTACCCAGGGAATAAATATCCTCATTTATAGATGTGGTAACTGGGGCTCAGAGAAGTAAAATGACTTGTGAAAGGTCAGAGAGTGACTCAGTGACAAGGCTTATTTTGACTCTAGCCCTGGGCTCTAGGACTCATAACTCTGCCTTCAGTGGCCTCACTTTTCGGATCAAGGCTTATTACAGTAGCCCCGACTTTCCTCAGGAACTCCTATGAGGGGAGGATTTGGGGATGGTTTCAAATTTTCCGGAAGATGGCAGCACAGGCTGCTTTCAGAATGCTAGTCTGTGTATCTTACACAAAGATCTAAAAGACAAAGCTCTTCAGCCTCAGGACCAAGGAAATAATTTTCCTTCAGTTGAACTGCTCAGTTGCTTTAACTAGCAAAAAACTGTCAGCATTCTCTCTCCTCCAGAAGGCCACCTGTGCTCTGCTTGCCCCAGCTGGGTGTGGTTCCTCCCCTCCCCAGTTATACAGTGAGTTGTGTTTATTCTTTGTGAAAGGTATTTAGTGCACTTATATGTGAACTCTTGCTGACCAAATGGTGTAGTGGAAACATCCCAAAGCCTGTGGGCTGGAATAGGGTTCTGTCCTTTGAGCTCCCATTTCTTCGTGAGACAGGAGGAAAGCTCCCACGCTGTTTGGACGAGAGTGCTCCCAAATGCGATGCTGTGTGCACAGGTACCTAACAGGCTAGGAGTGTGAAGGATAACTGTTTTATAAAATAAGCTCCTTTTAAAGAAAGTTCAAGAAGTTCCTTCTTGAAAATGTGTGAAACTTTAGTGTTCTGACTTAAAGCCTAAGGCACCTACAGTCTTTTTTCAAAACCCACGCCACAGGGGAACTGGCAGCACCATGCCTTGGCTTCAGAAACCCCAAGAGCCAACAGTTGGTGGCAAGTGGGGAAGGAGCAACATGTAGTCCCCTGCCTCTCTCAGCTGTGTGAGGAGCCTGGAGGGGATCCCACCTCTGCCCAGCATCTTCTCAAAGAGCTGACTGGAGGCTGACAGGCCCTAGGCCTCCCTCACTGGTGGGCTCAATACTATGTATAATCGAGAGGTGCCAGGTTTTGTGAGGGAGGGCAGCTGGACAGTGGGGTGAGGCTGCACACATTAAAACAGACTCCACTTCCTTTGGGCTGACCAGGGCTTCTGCTGTGGAAAACTTACCTTCCGTGACTCCTTCTGAGGTATCAGAATCCGATGCTTAGCCTTTACTACTTTCCTTCGAATTAAGTGGATCCCCAGTCGCTCCTGGAGGAAGCTCTTTAGCAGTGGAGGAACCCCTGGTACCATAATGGGAAAATAAGATGATTATTATCTACCATTTACTTTGAAATACTATGTTCCAAACTGCTTTACATACATCAGTGTAACTTATTTAATTTTCTTACCATGCCCTAGGAAGTAGATACCATATTATTCCCATTGAACAGGCAAGGAAATCAAGACAGGGAGTTTAAGGAATTTGTCCAAGGAGTGTGGATCAGGGATTAGAGTTCCACCATCACTGCATGCCCTGGACTCTAAAATGCCTCCAGCTTCTGCATGGTGGTCATCAGGCTCCCCTGTGGATGCTCAGAGGGAAGGGGGCTGCAGCTGGGCCTGTATCCACCCTACATGGGAGGCAGGAAAGGAGACCACAAAAGACCTGCTTCATAACACTGAGAAGAGCTGTGTGACCCTGGACAGATCATGAACCTCCTGAGCTCGTTTCCCCAAAATCCATGGGGGCAACAGTGCCCACTTCCCATGGTGCTCCCAGGATGAGCTAGGATGGATCAGCTACTCAGCGGTGTCTGCCATGTTCTCCATTTCCAGAGTGCCATGAACCTTGCCCACCCCAATACAGCAGAGCCCAGGGCCTGGCATCCATAAGATGTGGACAAGGGTGCCAGCACTGTTTTGTGGGCACTGGAGTGGAGGGCTTTGGGTCCTTACCTCGTGTGTGGGCCACCAGAGGGTTGTTATGAAAGATGAGTTCACAGAGGGATGGAAAGAGAGCTATGGGCAGGAGGGCATCCTCCTTCGCAATCTGGAACAAATGCAGAACCATTAGGTTCATAATAGTCCTTACCTCCCCCAGGTGGGTTGGGCTTGCATTGCAGGGCAGGATGCATGTAAGGATGGGGACGGGTGGGGGGAGATGATGCTGTGGGAGGGACTCACTGTGGGCAATGCCTCATCCTTGCAATGTCACCTGTGCATGCCCAGAATGCCTTGCCCTTCTGTCTTGACATTCCACCATCTCTCTAACTTTCCTCCCTTCCCCACACTGTATATGTAGCCTATATCAAGCACCAGACATATTTGTGGCAAAATAAGAACAAACACATAGCGCACTTGTCTCACAAAAAGTCTGGAAGATTGGCAAGGCAACCTTATTTATCTGACATCTTACTTTCCTCAACACAAACCTCTACATACCCACTAGTCTTCCAGCAGCACTCTTATGGGCCACTCTCCTAGCACCAGTTATGGGCACTGAGCTGGGAAGGGAAGACAGGAGGGCAGGATACCCACCTATATAAGGGATAACTAGAGCCCTTGAAAGGGACACCTCAAGGCTGTCTGGGGCTATGAAGTTGGCCTGAAAGTGACCTGTTGGCCATGCTAGCCTCTGATGGGCAAACATTATACTGTCCTTGTTGAACAGAGTGGCTGGAATACATGGGGATTATCTTGGGGAGGGTATCTGTTAGCTGTGGAGCATCATCAGGGCATCAGGTCAGAGGGCCCAGGAGTGGGGCAGTGGGTTTCAGACCCCTGGACACACTGAAAGGCATGGGTTGAATGTAGGGCCCACCAAAGGTGCTAAGATCCAAGCTGGAAGGAAGGGGAAGGGCCCTTCAGTTTGGCTTCCTCTGGAACCTCACTGGGTAGCACCAGATCGCAACTGGGCAATGAAGGTGTTCATAATTGTTCATATTTATTTATTCAGCCAACAAATATTTAATGACTACTTTACCATGTGCCAAGCACTGTGTTGGAATGAGCAAAACTAATATGCCTGCCCTCAAGGACACTGGCTACTGAGAAACAAGTCGTAAAGAAGCAGTAACAGAAAGGAGAGTAGATTTGCAACTGTTCTAAGTGCCACAAAAAAGAGGTGTAAGAGGCACTAGGACCTTTGACCAAGTATGAGAGGAACAATAAGGTGTCCCTGAAACGGGGTTGGGGGACAATATCAGTGAATACAGTGTGGGATAGAGGCTATGACAGAGACACTTCTGTATAACCAAAGCCATTTTCCCTACCTCTAGCTCACAGCTAGACTATAGCCTAGGCAGCAGGGTGCAGTCATGTGACTTAATTCTGGCCAATTCTTCGGGGGGCACAAATGATAAATGCTACTGCACTCATAGTCTACACAGAACCTCTAACACATCTTCTACTTCTTTCAACACAGTCCCCACCACTCAGCCATCTTACCCCAGATACACACAATCTAATAGGTTTTTAAAATCTTACAGATGAAAGAAGCCCAGCCACTTGACATCTCAGTCTCTGAATGCTTATGCGGAAGACTACCTGCCAACCAGGAATATGCAAAGCAAGAAATAAACATTTATTGTGTTGAGTGATTGAGATGTTCAAGTGTGTTTCAGAAGCTAGTATTACTCTAACGTAGACAGGAACAGTAATATGTAAAGAGAACAGTGTGTGAAAAGGACTCAGAGTCTGTTAGAGGAATTTAGAGAACACTGTGAGTAAAGCAGAGAGAAAACAGGTCATTGGTGTGAAATGAGACTGGAGGGGCCAGATTAATACTAGATTTTTGTTCTTGTGGAAGCCAGTGCATGAATTTAAGATATATGAAGACCTAAATTGACTCATTGATGAATTACATATAGGCAGATGGGGGAAGAGGTATAAATGGGAGAGAAATGTTAAGTTATGGTGTAACTGGATGGATGATGGAGCTATTCATTAAGATAGGGACTAATGAAAGAACACAAAATCTGAAGGGAAAAATCATTTATTCACTTTGGATACATGCACTTTGGAGTCCATCTGAGGCCTCCAAGAAGTGATATCAAATGGACAACTGGATATACAGGTTTGGAATACAGAGAGAGGTATCACTGGACTTAGAAATTTGTGAGTTAATGGTAATGGGCCAATGAGCATCTGGAGTCATGCCTAGGGACTGTGTACAGAGTAGGAGAAAGGGCCTAGCAGAGGGCCTTAAGGAAGAATAGCTTTTGATCTAGACCAAGGGTTAGTAAACCTTTCCTATCAAGGACCAGATAGTATATCTAAGATTTTCAGGCCGTACAGTCTTTGTTATAACTATTAAATCTGCTGTCATAGCCCCAAAGCAACCCCAGACAATACATTAAAAAATAGTTGCCGTGTTTCTTTTTCAATAAAAATTTATTTATGGACTACAACTTTGAATATCATATATTTGTAATGTATCATGAAATATTAATCTTTAAATATTTTCAACCACTTAAAAAAGGAAAAAGGCTGTACCAAGACCAGGCTTGGCCAATACAGCTATCTGTTTAATGAATCTCATCGGAACACTGTCCTCCCTCCCTTTATACATTGCCTGCTATGCTACAAGGAAAAACTGAGCAGTTACAGAAGAGTAAAATATTATCTGGCCTTTATAAAATGTTTTTACTGACTTATGTTCTAGACTCCCAAGGAGAATGAGATGAACTATAACAATGCCTACTCTATGAATAGTGGTGACTACAGAGGGTGCAGAGCCTCTTCTGTTTGACTGTGGCAGTCACTTATTAAAGAATGGAGGAAAGAGAATTGAAATTAATTTTGTCAGGATGTAAAATCCTGTCCATCCAAATCAGGTGCTTAAAAAGCTGAAAAAAGTTATAATTAAAAGTGATAGCTGAATAGTACCCATACTATGTGTCTCATGCTTTCTGTGAAATTAAGCTCCAATAGAAAGACAAGGACTTAGGATGCTGGTTGATGTGGTAAGCAAAATGTGGCCACCAGACCTATTCTCTAAAAGGGTAGTTGAAAGCTCCTGGAAATATATTTAGGTTCCATGATAACATTACATTTCTTTCCAATTTTGTTGAAAAGAGAATGTAGCATTCTGTAAAACCTATGGACTAAGTAAATATTAGTTACATTGAGTAAAAATGACTATTTCTCCTTTGATACATTTCTAGATTTCTGAGTGAATATTCTAAATGTGTAAGCTGCACATTAAGGCAGAATTGGTTTTAAAATTTGTAACTTTAATAAGTTGAGTATTAATTTTAATACAAGTAGCTGTATTTCTTGACATGATCAAAACATGTTTCATCTAACAAACTACCATGTATCAGGTAATGTGCTATGCACCAAGGATATAGATGTAAGCAAAACAATTACATTCTGGTATTAGGCCTGATTATAGACAAAAAGATAGATAACATGTTAGGTGATGTGACAGTTAAACTGAATTGTCAACTTGATTGGCTTGAGAGCCACCTAAAGGATTAGTACAGCATGCTGCTGGGTATGTTTGGGTGGGTCAGGGAGGCATGACCTTCAGTATTATATCTGGTCCCTGACCCCTTCCTCTCTCACACTGTTCCTGTGCTCTGCTTCCCAGCCACCATGAACTAAGCAGCTTTGTTCTGCTATCAGCTTCTGTGTGGTGTTTCTGCCTTGGAGCCAGCCAACCATGAACTGTCACCTCTGAAACTGTGAGCCAAATAAACCTCTTCTCCTTTAAATTGAAGGTGTTAGGTATTTTGTACATCAGGTAAGTTGACCCATACAGAAGACTGGTACCAGAGAAATGGTGTTTGGTACTGAGACTATACCTATGTGTTCAGAAGCCTGTGGAACTGGTTTCTGGGAGAAGTTTGGAAAGGTTTAGAGATGTGGGTGAGAGAAGCTCTAGAATATTGTAAGCAGAGTCTAAAGGGGTGATTCTGGTCAGAGCTTAGAAGACCAGAATGCTGATAGGAATGCAGATAGTAAAGGCCTGATTCATGAGATCTCAGTTGGGAATGGGGATTCTATTGGGAATTAGACTAGAGATCATGCATACTATACTCTGGCAAAAAGTGTGTCTACGTTTTTATCCATGTTCTATGACTTTGTGTGAGGCTGGATTTAAAGGCAGTAGACTATCTGTTCTGGCAGAGGAAATTTCAAAGAAGCCCAATGTGTGGTTGTGGCGTGGGTACTACTGGTTGCTGCTAGTCACGTGTACAGTGAGAACTGGAGCAAAAACGCAGGGCAGAGTTATTTGAGAAACTTAAATTTTGGCACAAAAAGAGTTGTGTGAAAAGTTTGGGTCAAAGAAGGTGTTTTTGCTGAAGAGATTAATGCCATTAGACACCAAGTTCTTTGAACTGGGACAAGAAAGAAGATGCCTTGAGGGCATCTCAGAAATCAGCAGGACTCCACCTCTCATAGGCTCAAGGATGCAACAGTATAAATCTTTCATTTGAGAGGATAGCCCCTGGGCCCCTGCTTGAGAAGGGTTGTCTAGGGAATTTTCTCCCTGGGATTCATTTTTCCATGCTCAGCCATCCAGGCACTCAGAAGCCACTGCAGCTATGGTCCAACGGGACCTGATTACTGTGTGATCTGGCAGCAGACTTTGGCATTATATATGTGATACTATTTTTCATGAATGCAGAATGCAATAGTTGTGGGGTCAGGAAGGCTTCCATCCAGATTTCAAAGGAAGGCCTGGGAAGCTAGGCAAAGAGCCCCAGTAGTCCCTGACTTATAAATGAGTTCCATTCAGGGATAATTGTTTGTAAGCTGGATTCTTTGTAAGCCAATAAAGTGAGTCAGCAAGGTCCTGAGTTTGATCTCTGGTACCAAAAAAGAAAAGAAAAAATATTACTTAAAAACTTAGGTAAAAATATAGAAAAATAGTAGAACTGGGATTTAGCTCAGTGGTTCTGCTGTCTGCCTCACAAGCACAAGGACCCGAGCTCAATCCCTGGATTGTTTGTAAGCTGGATTCTTTGTAAGCCAATAAAGTGAGTCAGCAAGGTCCTGAGTTTGATCTCTGGTACCAAAAAAGAAAAGAAAAAATATTACTTAAAAACTTAGGTAAAAATATAGAAAAATAGTAGAACTGGGATTTAGCTCAGTGGTTCTGCTGTCTGCCTCACAAGCACAAGGACCCGAGCTCAATCCCTGGTCCCTGGAAAACTGAATAAACTTCATAAAATCATAGCTCATATGTCATATCATATCATAGGATCATAACTTTTTTTCAAAATCACAACTTTTCTTGAGGCCAACAGAAAGCTACTGCCTCAGAGAAATCCTTTGGCCTTAAATCTGGGAAAAGTTCAGGATCTGTAAGGAAAGATGGGACACAGACAATGGCTCAACTGTATTGGAACACAAGCATTTAAGAAGAAATTGGCTAAAATTTTTAATAATTGTGAAAGACCAAGTATGGCCTAGAGTAAGAAGGTAGAAGCCGTGAGAGATGCTGACAATAGGGAGCTTCACACCTACTGTGTGAAAAAGATGACTGCAAAAGACTTCCATGTGGCATAGTCTGGGCTTGGAAGAGAGCAGCTACCATGGTAGAAGAGGCTTCACCCTCTCAGCCCTTCTCCCTTGGGAAAAAAGTCTTCAGTTGTTGAGGAAGAAGAGCAAACCCTGCCAGCCAAGGACATGGTATATGGGGAGGGAAAATAAAACCCCACTACTCCTGAGGCAGGGGCAGAAAACCAACCTTGGTCCTGAAGAGTAGAGGTCTCTTACAGCCAGGAGTAGGACCACAAGTTCTGCGGAGACACAGAACCCCAAGGCTGCTGAAGACTGGGGCCACAGCCAATCTTGGTAGGCAAACACTGGCAAGCACTAAGTAACAAGCAACAGCAGTACACTGTGGGGGAGTCGGGGAGAGACAGGAGTGGATAAACCCTCCACAGCACAGGCACACGGGGGAGGCTGAATGCCAAAGACAAAGCAGGGACACTAGAAAGACAGCCTGACAGCTAGGCAAGGACCAACTAACTCCCTTCTGTATAAATAGATGCACTCACACAAAGATATAAATAGACTACAAGTACAAGGGTAGCAAGATACTGTGCATGGAAAACTGTGCAACTATATAAAAATCAGACAGAGTAGACATGAAGAGAGGGAGTATTATTAGAGGCAGAGGAAGATAATTATAGTTAAAAAGGATCCATATGAGGATATAACAATTCTAAGTGTATATGCATGTGATAACAGACTAAAAGTATCTGGATAACTGGGCATGGTGGCACACACCTGTAATCCCAGCACTTGGGAGTCTAAGGCAGGAGGATTTGCCATGACTTCAAGGACTGTCTGGGCTACATAGCAAAACCCCCTCTGAAAACAAAACAAATTAAAAAATACCTAGAATACTGACAGAACTAAAGAGATGAAAAAACTCCAGAACCATGACTGGAGATTTTAACACCCTGTTCTCAGTACCTGAGTGACAAGTGGACCAAAAAAAAAAAAAAAAGAGAGTACAAAGATGATCTAAGTGACACTTCTAACCCCCTGAACTGACATTTATCAACACTATCCCACCCAAACTGTGGAATGCATATTTTTTTCTAAGTACATATGAACATTCACCATAATAGAACATATAATGGACTGTAAAACAAGTTGAAGTAGATATCAAAAGAAAGAACTCTTACAGATTATGTTATCTGACCATAAGAGAATTAAATCAGTTTTTTTGTTTTGTTTTGTAGTCCTGGGGATTGAACTCAGGAGGTTGTGCATGCTAGGCAAGCATTCTACCACTAAGTTACATCTCCCAGCCCAAGAATTAAATTATAAATCAATAATTCCAAAATGCTCAGAAGAGACCCATAAATTTGGAAATCAAACAACTGATTTCAAACAACCCATGGGTTGAAAGACAAAATTACAAGAAAAATTAAACATATTTTAACTGAATGAAAATAAAAACAGAGGGACTGGGTAGCTCAGTGGTACAGCACGTACTTAGTATTCATGGGGCCTTGGGTTCAATCCCTGGTACCCAGCAATAAATAAATAACTAAATAAATAAGTGAATGAATGAATAAGTTCTTACAGAAAATCAAACAGGATGTGGGCATTGGGAAAATACAAGAAAAAACATGTGAAATCCATCCTATAGATTTTATGTCTGCAGTTCCCTCCCTCTTCCCTTGACTAAAATAATTATTCAAATCTTAGCTTAAACATCGCTTTTTCTTGGGCATTCTCCCTGATCCCAAATATTAGGTTAGATACCCACACCAATCATGTACTTACTTCACAGCTCTGCGCATTTCTTCCTAATGCTAAGCATGCTTATATTATGATCATCTGTCTAGTATGTCTTCCCTACATCTGACACGCTCCACAAGTCTTTCATTTCACAGCTATATACCTAGTAACTAGGACAGAGCCTGGCACATGGCAAGTACTAAACAAACATTTGTGACTCTATGGATACACTTCTGCCTTGGCCTGCACGCCATACACTTTACCCAACCCAAGAACTTCTGGGCCCACATACCTGTAGTGTAGAGAATTAAAGGGCTGGCCTTTAGGTCAGAGCAGCTCACATCCCACCCTCCCATTTGTGCCCCTGAGGAGACAGGTCAAGAGCAGGGAGTCACCTTGTTGTAGGCCAGGCTAAGGTATCTCAGCTCCGGGAAGGGAGGAGCCAGTGTCTGGTTCCTGGCCTTCAGTGACTTCACAGGAAGAATCTCAAATATGGGAGGAAGTGAACATACCTTGGTTGTCTTGGAAAAAAGAAAAGTCAGAGTCAAAGTTGAGGCTGATAGAGAATTTGAAGCTACCAATGGCCTTTGGAGCGTGGTGAAAAGAATGAGTTTTGTAGAGACTTGGTCAAAGAGATGCTGAGGGTCATAAGGGCAGATGTCACCACTGGCCAAAATTTGTCTCCAAGTACTATGAGGTCATATGGTGAGCTCATTCTCCAGCACCCAAAGTTCCAGTTTCAAGTTCTGAGTCCACAGGACACTACAGCCCTGCTGCAACCATCAGAGAAGTATTTGGTTACCTCCCACCTTCTGCCCTACAGCAGCTGAACCTGAATTGCCCCTTCTATAAAGAACAGCTAAAGTTTCTCCAGAAGGCAAAGGGCAGGAAATTACATTGTTCAGGGACATTTTCTGAGAAGGGAGATGGAGAGAAGGAGTGTTGCTAACCTTAAGCACCTGGCTTGATGGGTATGTTGCCCAGGAAGAAATAACAAAATCTTGAAGACTTAAGCCAGGCTTGGGGTCCTGAACATGATAAAGTGCACCTGGGTCACTTGAAAGGTCATGGTCTTTCTATGCAATCCAGACTGCCTCGGGACAAACATGTGTGATCAAGCAGAGAAAGGAAGCTGCTAAATTAACCATGTCTAACTTAGTTTACTCACTGATTCCTTGAATTATGTGAGACCAAAGGATATTATTGCATGGATAGATGCTGGGCTAATGGTTAGGTTAGGAGGAACTAAATATTTCAACCTCCATTAACCACTATGCACTGTTAAGGAAATCATTCAATGTTCACTTGTTCATTCAATGAACAGTTGTTCATTGGCCTTTAGATCAAGTATTTGTGTCATTATAGGCCAACTTGTAAAGCCACACAAATAAAACAGGTCAGTCATGATGGGAACGAACAAAAACTATTGATACTGTTTGAAAATGTGTGACTCTCTTCTTCAGGCAACCCAACACAGTCTGTGAGAGGGCAGAGTGGAATGGGGCAGCAGTCTTCAGGTAGGACAGGAAGAAAAAAAGTAGAAAGGAGAGAAGAAAATTATAATTTAAAAATCATACTTCTAAGAAAATCACAGATTCAGGACACAGTCGCCAAAGATTGCAATGGCCTTTCTTACCCTTTCAGGAAGTGCACCTGTAAATAGAGCCTCTGTTTTCCTCCAATACTATAGATTCACTCTACAGACTTCCACCTCAAGGAAACAGCACTATTAATTAGGTAACATATTTCTAAACTTCAAACACATGCAAATGTTTTGCATTCTAACTTAGCCCATGGATAACCTGGTAGACACTAGGAAAACATATACTAGATCAGTGGTGGCAAACCTTTTAGAGCTTTCAGAGATAGCAAACAGCCTGCTTCAGCACACCTGCCATACCACTGTCCTAGATCATCCATTTTAAGGACACACCCAAGACTACATAAAAATTCAGACTAGAATGAGCCTCTTCCTTGAACACCTGCATTCTGTTTCCTCTGAGCGTGTATTTCCTTAACTCTGTGCAGTAAATCTGTCTATGTCCATCACTGAATCCTGAAACATTTTTCTCTAATGTAGACTGGCAAACCTATAACCAACTCTGTGGGTCGGGGCAAGCTGAGGTGTCTATCTCCCCTTCTCAGCCTTGTCCAGGGACAGTCTGGCAAGGCAATCTTCTCCTCTGAGCAACTTCCAACTTGGCAAGACTGGGTGAGCAGCAGGGGGCAAGTCAGATGACTTGAGAGTATGACCTACCCTGCTGGGGACAGACATAGAGGGAGGTGTGGTTGGCTTCATACACACACACACACACACACACACACACACACACACACACACACACAGAGTCTCACTATGTAATTCAGGCTGGCCTTGAACTCACCATGTAAACCAGGCTGGCCTCAAACCCTCAGTGATCCTCTACTTCAGCCTCCTGAGTGCTGGGATTTCAGGTGTGTGCCACCATACCTGGTGCATCTGGCTTTTAGTTTCAACCATCCCAAATTTAGTCAGTAGTTGATCATAAGTGTGGATAGCATGGGGGTTATGCAAACTTGTGGCTGGCATCTAAGTTGGGGATCTGTGTCCTTAAACTTGGGTCTGCATGAACTGGGCTGATTAGCATCAGAATTATCAGAACTTTTCTTCTGATTTTCTTTGACCAAAACAGTGTAGCATGAGTTACACTGTTAGAATTTCAGAATCTGGCAATTTTTCAAAGAGAGAAAGAGAGAGAGAGAGAGAGAGAGAGAGGGAAAGAACCATGCCTAATGTCCACCTGAGTCCAGCTCCCAGCTAACCTGAGGCTGAATGCAACTGTCTGAGTGAGTTCTTGTGAAACCAAGAGAACCACCTGGCTCACTCAAATAACTGTTGAGAAATAATCACTTGCTATCGTTTGAAGTTAATAACTGTTGGGTTTGTTATACAGCAATAGTTAACTGGTATAGTTTTCTCATACAGATGTAGAGTTGTGTTTCTTATAAATAAACAAATCAATATGTAGTTTTGTACATCAGTCTTTATGAGCTTGGTCAGTGAGAATTAGCCCTGAGAGAACTCAGTTTTCTGTACTCAAACCAAGTGTCTGAGTATTTGACACTGTGGTTAGATCCTGGATAGCAGTGCATTTGGTAAAGAACTTTTCCAGCTCTGGGGGACTCTTAGCTTCTGGGCTTCATCCTGGTGGCAGCCCTGCCCATGTCGGCCAGTTGAACCCCGTGAAGCAGCCACTATTAACATGCTCTTCTAGACAACATCTGAGGACAGAACAAACTGACGAGGGTAGGGGCCTGTCTGGTTAGCTCACTCCTGCATCTCCAGGACTACCATTGTGTCTGGTACCTGGTGGGTACTCAGCAGATATCTGTTCAGTGAATTGGGCTTTCTTAGTGAGATCTATAGAAATGCCTCTTGTGGCCCCATTGTGTTTGTTTTAGTCTGTTAAAATGAATGTTCTTGAGCTTGGGATGTAGCTCACCTGTACAGCACTTGCCCAGCATATGGGAGGCCCTCGGTTTAATCCCCAGGGCCACAAATAAATAAAATAAAACTATTGTTCTAACTCAAATACACAAATATAAAGTAGGCAGTCCCTACCTCTGAGGTTGAAAATCCCGGGTAAGATAAGAACACAACTTCTGAAACAAAAGAAACAGAATGAAGGTTGGTGAGAGCACTGATTGACTCCCAGAGACGTCAGGGTCTGGTTCTAGATCCTCTAACCTACAGCAGGGTGCCTCCTAGACCAGTTCCAATGTAAAATGAAAAAAGGAACACAGTGGTGTCACCTGCCAGGTAGTAAGGATAAAATCCAAACCCCTTAGCCAGGCCTCAGAGGCACCACACTGATAGGCCCTCTCTGCTTCTCCAATGCTACTTTCCCTTCTCTCACTGGATCTCAGCCACAGGACCTGCCTCCTGACTTTACAACATGCAAACTCCCTCTAGCCTCAGAGATCCTGAGGCCATACTGAGTAGAAAACTTTCCAGCTTAGAGAGAAATGAGTATAAAAGACATTCTGGAAAACATTCTTTGCTAGCTTAGTAGAAATAGATAGTAAATTCAGGAGAGATAGCAAGAAGAGTCAGCACATGGTCATAAGGAGGAGGCTGCAAAACGACTTCATTCTTGGGACCATCAGACTGAGATGAGCCTATGAGAGCTCAAACTAACAAAAGAAGCACAGCATCTGCTGGGGCAGGATTGCCTTTACCCTGGTGAACACTACTCCTTTCCCATATTAATGATATGAAAAAGGCCACATGAAAATAAACAGTAAGAGGAGGTGGAACAATACCTGCCATAATTATTTTCCTAAGTGAGGGTCTTCAAGGGATTTGGAAAAGCTTTAGGCAATGAACAAAGTAGAAGTTTGTGGGGGACAGAATGCAGTTGCAAGTGTGGGTGTGAGCAGTAACCGTGGGGAAACAGAGAGAGATGGATTGTAGCACACTCTGCCTGCACCAAGCACTTGCCCTCCCCACATTCAGGCAAGTAGCTCCAGGCATCAGAACCTGCATTCTAATCTGACTGAGAGCTACTGCAAGAAAAAAGGGAACAATAAAGAATCTCCCAATATTTGAGGAAAATTAACAGTATGAAAAATCATGAAATGTCAAAAAATAGAGCTAATATCTTTAAAAAGTTTAATAAAGAATAAAAACTTTAGAGTAATTATTATCCTGTACGAATTTCAAAAGTTTATTTCATTCCTAAACAAAAGTAAATTTTTAGGGGCCAGGGATTTAGCTCAGTGGGTCCACCACCACCTCGCAAATGCAAGGTCCTGAGTTTAATCCTCAGTACCAAAAAAAAAAAAAAAAAAAAAAAGAAACTTTTGTGGAAGTGAAGCTATTAACAATTTTGTAAACTTCAAATATGGTAATCGAACACCAAACATGATACTCAAATGTTCTCTATACAAACAGGCCAAGCTTAAAACCTAATTCATAAAATGGAAGATGGAGTTGAATGTAATATTTTAAAAACCAAGGAGATATAAAATATGGTAGAAAAGAGGAACGGAAGATAGATCCAAAGCTTTTAGCAGCTGAGGGAATTCTAGAAGAAGACTACACAGAGAATATAAAGAGGGAAACAAAAAATGTTCTCAGTCATGTGTGGTGGCATAGGCCTATAATTCTAGTGGCCTGGGAGGCTGTGGCAGGAGGATGGTAAATTTCAGTAACTTAAGAGACTTGGCAAGACCTTGCCTCATAAGAAAAAAGAAAACATCTGGGGATGTAGTTTAGTGGAAGAAAGCTGTTGAGTTCAATCCCCAGGGGGATCGGGTGTCTTTAAGATGAAGGAAACCACACAACTTTCAAAGAACTCTCAAGGTACCTAAAAGTCTGAGTGAAAAGTGTTGCATACATAGATGCTTCTTAGTAAAATTGCCAAAGGATAAAAGTGAAATAAAAATTAATTTCCAAAAAGCAAAAATAGGTTTCCTGTAAAGAAATGAGAATCAGATTGAAATCAGACTTTTCACTGGCAACAATAAATTAAGAAGGCAGTGAAGTAATATCTTCAGTTTTAAAAGAAAACTATTTTAAGGCTAGAATTCTCCACTCCAGCAAACAAGCATTCAAGAATGATAAAAAAAGATAATTTTTGGTAGGGACTTAGAAAATGTACACAACCTACATGCAAACTATATTTGAAAGAATCAAATAGCACAATGAAAAGTAACACAGTATAGAAAACATTCTGAAATAAAAATCCAAGCAAATTAACCAAAAGGTAAAATTCTATAGATTTGGTGTTTTGGTCTGAGTTATGTTGCCTTCAAATTTATATGGTGAAGTCCTACTCCTGAGCACCTCAGACTGTGACTAGATGAACAGACAGCAATAAGGAAAGACTTTGAAAACAATGCTGAGTGAGGGCAAAGATGTAGCTTAGCAGCACAGAGCCTGCCTGGCAAGCATGAGGCCCTGAGTTCTATTCCAGGTACCAAACAACAACAAAAACAACAAACAATACTGAATGAAAACAGCAGAATGAGCTCAACAGTATATAACTACTATGTAAATTAAAAACACATTATACATAAGGTAACTATTTACAAAGACTCATACACATATCCAGGAAAATATACACAAGAGCAGAAATTTATATGAAAAGGAATATAAGGGCAAGGATTAAGGATGAAGGAGGAAAAAATGGTAAGAGCTTTGTACAAATTACTAATTATGCTGCGCTGTAACATGATTTGTATTTTTTTTTTTTTTTGGAGTAGGAAAATACTTATTGAAGAGGTAGCTTCCACGAGGCAGGAAGGGATTTGAATGGGTAGCTGGGGACCCCACTTTACAGGGAAGTTTTATAGAGCAAAACCCATGGGGGTACAACATGGGTTATGGCTATGATCAACCAATAAGGTTACAACTATAGTTGCTTAGGTAATAGTGACCCAATGGGGAAACAAGTCACTTAACAAGTGTGCATGGAAAGAACAAAGACTTCTTTCCTTTTTCTTGGTACCGGGGATTAAACTCGAGACCTTGCTTTTATGGGCAGGAGTGGGGCCACTGAGCTATGTCCCTGGCCCCAAGTTTTTTTTTTCCCTTGGTACTGGGGATCGAACTCAGGACATTGTGCTTGTGAGGCAGGTGCAGTGCCACTGAGCTAAATCCCTAGCTCTTTCTTTTTTTCTTTTTTCTTTAAAGGAGGAAAGGGTTTTAAAAATTTTTTAATACAAGTAAATATTAATAAAGAAAATATAAAAACATTTCTATGAAAAATGAAATTTCATAAAATAATTAGAGACTAACAATGGCAAATATACTGTATATCATAATCTTAAAAGAATATATTTTCAATTGTTAATCTATCTCTCATTGCCTAAGAATACTATACCTTTTTTGCATAAAATCTTTTAATTATTAACAAAGTATCTGACACTCAGTATTACACCTGATTTGTATTAACTCTCTGATTCTAAATTACACATATCCACATGATAGGAATCTAAGAGGAAGGCCTGAGATGCAAGCAGCTGTAGTAATAGAGAAGTTAAACTAATAGTTTAATTTCTCAGTCTAAAGAATGGTTGATGCATAATTTAAAAATTAAAACCCATCAAAATTATAATATAGTTTATACATTCTGGGAAGTGATAAGAGAGAAGCAGATAAATTCATATAAAATTTTCCTTTTTATTAAAGGGAAGACTTGCATTTCATTGATCATAGGTATTAATAGACAAAGGGTTGATAGGATTTTAGGATGGCCTTTAGAAATATAGCATTTCTAGGATAATTATTAGAAATATAGAAATGAGGTGTATTTCTTTTAAGAAAGTAAAAACGAATTAAAAGAAGAGTCGGGCTCACAAAAAGGCACAAGAGAAGAAAAAAACCACAAGTAAACAGATAACATACATCAATGGTTAAAATAAGTTGAAATATATCAGCAACCACAAATTAGTTTAAATTCTTATATTTAAAAAGGTTCCTATTGAGAAAATCTGCAGTATTATATTGCTTTTGAAATATCCTGAAATAAATATATCAAAGTCAAAGTCAAGGCCAAAATTACTAATAAGATAAGGTGGAATGCTTTACAATGATCAAAAGGCTTATGCCAAAATAAAAGCCTCAAACTCAGTAATACAGAACTGAAACAATTTAATAATTTATAAAGCCGCAAACATAAGGAGATGTTGTCAAATCAGCAATAGCAGTAAGAGACTTTAACACACTTCTTTCCAAAGCTAACAAACCAAGTAGACAGAAAAATTTTATAGGGAGGAAAATCTGAAAAATCAAAGTGCCCAATTATTAATTTACTAAGCATTACTTCCAAACTTCTCTATTCTGCTTTAGACCCAGGGTCTGGGATGCTGAACAACTCATTTGTCTTTGGTTGCTTGCTTTCCTGTTAGATCCTAGCAACAGGAGATGGTGTGAGAGGGGAAAAGGCTACATTAGGAGAGGAAGAAGAGGCTTACTCCCAAGGCTCCCTGACTGCTTGTGATTCCTAAGAATGCCAGTGGAGAGGCACCTCCTGAGGTCAACAGCATCTGAATCCAGCTGGCAAGGTTTCCGATTTTATAAAGCAAGATTCTGATCCACTGGTCAGTGTGCTTTCTGCAGGGATCTGGATCCCGGCTCCTGGCGGCTGTCAGAGCTCATAGATTCTAGCAGCAGAGATGTTGCTCTTCCCCAGGGGCCTAGTCTTTAGGTCTAAGTTCTAAGGGCTCTTCCTCCAAGCTTCTAATTTCTCATAAGTTTAACTTCTTCCCAACAAAGAAAAATCTAGGCTCTGGTGGCTTGAAGGTGAATTCTTCCAAAATTTAACAAAGAAATAATATCAATCTCATTCAAACATTCCCTGGGAAAGAGAAAAAATGTGAACCCTTCTCAACTCATTTTATGTGGCAAACATAACCTTAATTGTAAATCCTGACAATAATATTATAACAAAGGAAAAGACTACACCAACGTATCTCCTGAACACAGCTGCAAAAATCCTCCACAAAATGTAAACAAATTCAATCAGGGATACACAACAGGACCAAGTGGAGTTTATCCTTGGCATGCAAGACTGGCTGAACATCTTAAAATCAGTCAGTGTAACTAACCATATTAACAGATTGAAGAAGAAAAGTCACAGGATCATCTCAATAGATGCAGAAAAGGTAACTGATGAAATCCAATGCATATTCACAATAGCATATAAGGCAATTTCTTTATCTTATTAAAGGTATCTACAAAACTACAGCTAATTCAGCTTTGAAATGCTGACAACTTTACTCTTGAAGTTGGGAATAACATAAAGATGTCCACATCATCACTTCTATTCAGCATTGTACTAGAAATCTTAGCCAGCAAAATAAGGCAATAAAAAGATGTAAGAGGTATTAAGATTGAAAAAGAACCAATAAAATGGTCATAATTTGTAGGTGTCACAATCCTGAACATAGATAATCCAAAAGAACCTGCAAATGATTAAAAATAATAAGTGAATTTAGGAAGGTTACAGGATACAAGTTCAATATTTCTATGCACTAGCAATAAATAAATCAAAATGAAATATATAAAAACATTACCATTGACAATAGCATAAAAAATATCAACTACCTAGGAGTAAATCTTATGAAATATGTGTGTGATATCGCCATTGAAAGTACAAAGCACTGCTGAAGAGAATTTTAAAAGACCTAGAAACTGGTAGGATATATTATTTTAATGTACTAAAAACTCAATATTTATAAAGATGTCAATTCTCTATAGAATCAGTGCATTTCTAATCAAAATTCCAGCAGGATTTTGTGTGGAAAGTGATAAGCTGCCTTTAAAATTTATATGGAAATACAAATCTCATATAATTGCTACAGCAATTCTGAAGGACAATGCCTCACTGCAGAACTTCAGTACTAGAAATAAAGTTATAGTAATTTAGACACAATACTATCACCAGATAATATCTTCCCTACAACTCAGGGGGGGAAAAGGATATGGCCTTTTCAGTGCTGGCAAGGCCAATAAAAAATACATGTAAAAAAGCAAACTTTTACCCCACTTAATACCATACCTCAAAATTAATCCTAGGTGGATCATAAACCAAAATGTAAAAACTGAAACAATCAGGCTTCTAGAAGAAAATACAGCAAAATAATCTTCATGGCCTTGATATTGGCAAAAAAATTCTTAAAACAGGAAAGAAAAAGCACTAACCATAAAAGATTTATGAATTGGGCTTCATAGAACATCTGTTTATCAAAAGTCACCATTAAGACACACACTGGAATATTTTTTTAATACATACATCTATAAAGGATTTTTGTCCAGCAAATATAAGGAATCACTACCAATCAACAAGAAAAGACATAAAACTCTATATAAATGTAGATGAAAGACATGAATAGTCACTTTCAAAAGAAGATGGTAAAGTAACCAACAATCGTATGAAAAGGTATTCAATATCATTAGTCATTTGAGAGATCCAAATTAAAACCACAATGTTTTACCACTGCACACTCACCAAAGTAGCTAACATTAAAAAGACTAAATTACTAGCCGTGTGTGGTGGCGCATGCCAGTAATCTCAGAACTCAGGAGGCTGAGGCAGGAGGATCACTGTGAGTTTGAGACCAGCCTGGGCTAAACAGTGAGTTCCAGGTCAGTTTCAACTACATAGTAAGACCCTGTCTAAAAAAAAAAGAGACTAAATTACCAAGTATTTTTGAGGATCTGGAGTAACTGGGAATCTCTTACATCAATATGGGGATGTACACTGGTACAACCACTTTGGGAAAGAGTTTAACAGTATCTACTGATACTCAAAATGCTTTTATAGTTTATAATCCTTCAATTCTACTTCTGACTACATATCCAACAGAGATGAATGAGTTGATGTCTGATGTGTAAGAGACACACAGCTTTGTCCACAATAGCTCCAAACTAGAAAAAATAATATCTACCAACAGTAAAAAGGGCAAATAAATTGTGGTATAAATGGAACAAATAAGATGAATGAAAGGGACTGTGCTATTGGCAGGTGCATAACATTAACAAAACCCACAGACATAATATTAAATGAAATACATGAGATACAAAGAGCAAAATGTTGCATAATTCCATACACAGGAGTTTCAAAGCAGGTACAACTAATCCACGGTGATCAAAGTTAGAATGGTGGCTATTATTAGATCGGGAGTGTACCACATGGGACCCCGGAAATGTTCTGCACTATAATATTAGTGACTAAAAGGGCCTATGTACATAAAAACTTAAGCTCTACATAAGATTTCTGTATTTTACCCAATGCAAATCATTTTTCTCAATTTGAAGTAAATGTAAAAAAAAATCAGTGAGCAGAATATATAATCCAGAAATATACTCCTGTATTAAAGGTAGCAATCCCTTCCTTTTTGCCTCTGAAGCTGCCATGTGGATGTGATTTTTAGAAATGTGGTAACCTCCTTGAGATCCCAGTGGTAACCAGCCCCAAAAGACAAGTAAGCAGGCTGAGGGTGGCAGAGGAGTGAACAGAGAGACCCAAGTTCCTTGAAGACATTCATGTGCTACAGAAGTAACTATTTTTGGAAAACCTTACTTCTGAGTTTCTTGTCATTTGAGATTTAAAATAAAAATTATATCCACTTTTAATTGGATTTTGAAAACATCTTAACTGATAGAACCAGTTTAGGAAGTCAGTAAAATAGTGCAAATCATTGAATAGTTCAGTTTAAATGCAGCAGTGCCCTGGGGAGCCATAGGCTTTCAAGATAAACTCCTGGAAATTTACTCTCACCATGGAGCTGTCTATCTGCAACAAGGTGCATCACTCACCTGTCCGGTCAACATCCTTCTTCATGGGCAGAATGGTATAGTTGGGCTGGTCGTCTGAGGCCTCATACATCCACGAGCTGGGTTGCAGCATGGACTGGGGCTCTTTCTGAGGACTTGCCCTGCCTCCAACCCAGTCCCCTGACCAATCACGGAGCTGAACCTGCTGTAGGTATGGGATCCGGAAAATCCTGTTTTGATCCAAGCTTAACTTCTTCAGTCTTCAATTAAGGAAAGTAAATACAGAATCATAGTGATAATGATAACTCAGGGATATTTACCAAGCATTTGAGGTTAAGAACATGGAATCAGGCTTGAACATTTCTCTTGAGCCAGTAACTCTCTGGGCCTCAATATTCCCATCTCTAAATGGAGAGAGTATTTATTAACCTTTTAAGGTTCTTGTAAATTACCTGGAACAAAGTAGTATTCCATAAAAGGCTACTGAATTCACAAGGGAATTTCCAGGAATCTAAAACTTAACCATTCAAATGCCCGAATTTTCTTTACTTTAACCAAATAGATAGAACTTAGCAAATAAACTTGTCATTCTGATTCTGATTTTTTAAAAGGCATGTCATTTCTCTCAGAATCAGGATGCTGTCTTGAGTAATGTCTCCTACCCTCCTTTCTCTTTGTCAGATCTCATCCAATCACAGGATCATAAATATCCTGAATGCCCCATTTTCATGAGCTAAGCTCAGAGGGGAGAAATGACTTACCAGAGCCACACAGCAGAGACAAGTAATGGAGCTAGGACTTAAGACCAGACCCTTTGGTGGGCACATCAGCACTCAAGGTGTGAGTGTGGCTGGGGTTGGAAAGGGAGAGCCCTGCAGAGGAAGGCTTGTAGCTTTACCTCCTGAGCCCGGCCAGGCTGGCAAAACAGTTGGGGTTGGAGAGTTTGTTGTCATCCAGCATCAGTGTCTCCAGTGCTGGGAACCTCAGGATATACCTCTTGTTTGTCAACGATGAGACGGATGCCTCCCTGTGAGTGCAAAGATCTTGGGTACTGAGCAAGGGCAGGGGACAAGTTCCATCTCCCCAGGAAGAACTTCTCTAGTGCTCAAGATAGTTCCCTGTAGATGGACATAAGAAGGTATAATTCCCTCCCTGCTGGCTTCTGTCCCAAACCCCACTCATACAATTTTCTGGATGGAGAAAGTTTATACACATCATTGAGATTGGCTGGGGCAGTTGGGCAGGCACTGGTGGTGCTCATGGACAGTACCAGGGTGAATGAGGCATGGCCAAGTCGAGGGGAGCATTACACAAGTAGAACACTACACAATTTTGGCCCAGGACGGACTTCTGGGTATGCTGTGTCACCCTGAGAACTGGTAACTATGGGAGTGCCAACAGACAATGTCTTAGCTTTGCCCCCAAAGAGGGTAAAACAGGCTGGGTTAAGGGCACCATCCAGTGAGATTCTCCTCTCAAGTGACATTCATAGATATACAGGCACAAATATGTATGTATATGTAAGCCACAAACACACATAAAACAAGAGGAAGGATAATGAACATTTCCTCAGAGCCTACTGAATTCCTGGCATTGTGCTATATGTTTTTGTTTGTTTGTTGTTTGTTTGTTGAGACAGGGTCTCACTATGTAGTTGGGACTGACCTGGAACTCACTATGTAGCCCAGGCTGGTCTAACTCAGTGATCTTCCTGCCTCAGCCTCCCAAGTGCTGGGATTACAGGTGTGCACCACCACGCCTGGCTGTGCTATATGTTTGAAATATTTTGTCTCAGAGTTTTATTTGGGAGAATAGTATTATTTTCTGCTTTTGGGATCAGGAAAATCAAGCTTAGTACAACTTGGAGAAAGTTTCATAGCTAGAAAGTGGTAGAGCTTAATTTAAGAGTCTAGTTCTACCTGACTCCAAAACCCTGGCTCTTTCCATTGCCATTGACTGCCCCCCCATCTCATCTTTAAGTCCCATGTGGAGTAAAAGGTGGGGAAAAGGGTGAAGCAACTATTGCCTGGGCTGGAGAGAGCTCAACAAAGGCAGGCAGCATTCAAAAACTAGCACTGGAATATACACATGAAGTCAGAAATATTTCTCAGGTGAGTTTAGAGAGGTTATATAATTTATTTCTTTACTCACACTCAATAATCTCTTTAACATGTATTTATGTAGCCACGTACTGAGGACCCAAAGAAAAGAACACAGCCCCCTCCCCTGAGGGTGCTTACAGTCTCATGGAAGAGGCAGACCCATTGCATACAGCAGGGCAAATGCTATAACAGAAGCAGGTAGGGAGGACTCTGGGAAGGCCATGCTTCAGCGAAACCTTTAAGAATGAGAAGAAGTTGGCTAAGTTTTTAACCACTGTGAAAGAAGAAAAGAACACAGAGAGAAGATGCCTCTTTGTTGCTTGATCAGGAACATAATTAGAAGCTCTGGGCAGCCATGTTTTCTCCCATGGGGCCCGAAGAGACACACGCAGCCCAGATGAGTGGAGAAATGCTCAGTATGTCTCTAAGTCATGGCTGTAAAATTTCTGTATGTTCCTAAGTGAATTCCCCCTTTTTTTGCTTACTGTAAAACTGACGGACTTCAGTAAATGACAACTATGATAGTTCTGAGTTTAAAAAAGGGATGGCACAGATGAAATTGCAGAAAGAGCCCTGGCAGAGGGTAGGGCATACTCATGATGTCCAAAGACCAGAAACACTCCAACAAAGAAGGCATTTGGTTCATGGTACTTCAAAGTCACAGATGACTTCTGTACCCCTACCTAGAAAGACTAACTTTTACATGCTGAATTTTTAATCTCTATTTTAGAACAAGAACAAAATGCTACCTTGCAGCTCTGCTGATTTATAATTAGTTGGCCAATCTTTATTTTACTCCAGTGAAATATGAAACAGTTCAGAGATAAGCCTGCAAAATGTTCCCCTTAAGCTCCACCACAGAGAAGCTGGCTTTGTCTTGTCTCTGTGACAAGTTATATTACTTTGTCTTTTTAAATGTCATCCCTGATAATAACATAGGATAATTTCATTTTTTGTTTGTAGAACAGAAGTCTTTCAAAAGGGGACTGTGAGAAGCCAGCCACTGGCAGCAGAGACTTTCCTGTGAAGCCCTCCCCAGAGTCTTGTAAGGGGAGCTCTTTAAAGCAGCAAAATCCATGAGAGGTGGACAGGCCAAGGTTTCCAGCTGTTCAGAGTGGTACTGTTTCTATTAGCCCTTCTCTCAGCAAATGGAATTAACAACATTAAAAACCTAATAGGTCTGGTTTAATGATTTTTTATGAGTTAAGAATGTGCCCAGTGTTTGGATTCAGCACTGGAAATTTGTGTGTCATATAAGAAGCATGGGACTGGCAAGCAGGAGTCCTGAGCTCTGGCTCTGGTGCTGCTGCTGCTTTGCTTGCTGTGTGACTTCTAGTTACTACTGACCATCTCTGAGCCCAGACCCTTTATCTACATGGTAAAAGAGGTAGAGTTTACGTAGGTCTCTAACTCCAAAAATTATGCAGCAGAGGGAGAATGGGGCAAGTTGCCAAGGCCTGAGAAGGAGAGAAAGAAGGAGATTTTGACACAGGGATGCGTATGATGAATTTGGTATGTTGAGGCAATATGTGCTGAGAGCTCAGAAGATAGAAGCAGAAAAATAACCCAAACACTTAGGAAAGTATGAGACCACCAAGAAAAAAGTATTTTTAAAAAGTAGGTAAATGGTAGACAACTGAGGAGCACTAACATTTAAAAGGCTGGTAGAAGAACACGAATCCACAGAACATACTGAATATAGACAGATGGCCAGGAAATGAATTAATGACAGAGGTACTTGCCTGGAGCCCTACAGCTTTCAAAGCACAATGATTCAATTGATCTGCTGGTGTAGGCAGGGGTACGTTTATTCTCCCCTCTGGTATAAAAGGCAATGCAAGTGCAGGGCGGGAAGACTTACTTTACTTTATATATCAGGCTTTCCACTGAAAACAACTAGAATAATGAATAAAAATATAGCAAGAAAAAAGATTCATCATTTAAAAATGTGCAAAAGATGGGACGATAGTAAGGAAGCACTATGCCAAATCTAAAAGCCAGGAGAGAGAAACTGAGTAGAAGCCAGTTTAGCCCCGAGGGCATTTGCCCAGCTTGTTGAAATTGAACTGTGGTTTCAAAGTCTCGTGGAGCTAAAGAATCGAAGCCTAAAGCACAACAACATATGGCATCTAATCAGAGATCCTCCACACAGATCTGGCCCCTAAGGGACACATCTTCCGGACAGCACAGACCAGAACTAAACCCACTTCCCTCATGCGGGCCAGTGGGGTGGGGGGGAACACGACCAGGACCGGTCTTACAGTGAACAGAGAAGATGAGTTGGGGGAAGACTGGTCCTCTCGTAAAACTGTAGTCCAAATGTCTATCATCAGCGTGGTCCAGAAAATAGCCAGTCAGGGATTTATTTTAAACTGATTCCATACCTAGTGCCTCTAGGCATTGGGCCAAAATAAATGGAAAAGTTTATGGTACTGCAGACTAAGTAATATGGGCCAACTCTTCCCTGGGTAAAAAACTGGAATGCCGAGACAAAGTATATATTTGAAGACAATCTTCTTTAAGGTACCTTGGAGCTAGCAAGCTGTGAAGAATTAGGGGGCCAAGAGTTGAAAGAAGCAGGAAATCCAAAGAAGTACATATTACATGGGGCCACTTTTCCCCTATAGGTGTGTGCTGATTCCAGAAGTGGAAGAGAGGCTGATAGGCTGAGCAGAAATTCTGATGACCTTGCTCATCTAGGGGCCTCAAACTGGAATCCAAGGTGTGCCACACAAAGGCGATCTGATAAAATACTCATGCTCTAAGGAAGGCGCTGGAGAACAAAACCCTAGGAAGACCTGTGTCACTTGAAATGGCGCAGCCCTTGAAGTGACAAGATGAGCTTCAAATTTCAATTTCTCTAACTGAATTAGGACTTGGAATCATTATGGTAGATAACTAAAAAACTCAGTCTGGTAGGAAAAAAGCAATTTGAGTTGCCCAAAGGGACAGTCATAGCCCCTCATTCAGATCCCTATTAACATTTAAATTGGAACCAATTGAGCTTAAATAAAATTTAGAAAAGTTTTTCTCTTACACTAGCCACACTTCAAGCTCTCAATATGGCCAGAAGCTACCATACTCAACAGTGTTCATGTGTCAGTTAATCTTAATTGTCAACTTGACTGAATAAAGAGACTCCTGAAGAGGTGACTGGATCTCAGGAATGTTATGCTGATGATCATAGCTGAATGTACTGTAGACAGTGGGGCCTAGTTGGAAGAGGTGGGTCACTGGGAATGTGTCTTTGGAGGATATAACTCTCTGGTGCTCTGTACCCAGCCACATGAAATAGGCAGCTTTACTCTACGATACCCGTCTGCCATGATGTTTCTGCTTTGGAGCCAGTGGGCCTTGGACGGAAGCCTTTCCAAGTGAGCTAAATTAAACTTCTCCTTTAATTTGTGGGTGTCAGGTATTTTGTCCCAGCAATAAGAAAGTTGACTAACACAGCCCATAGAGAACAATTTCAACACTGCAGAAAATTCTTTTGCACAGCAATAAATTGGGCCTTATAAAAACTACCAGACAATATCTACAAATTGGTACTGATCTTTGGGGATATGAAAGGCATAGTAGCTCATCTCTCAAAGTGCGGGATCATGAAGGTCAGACAAAGGTCAGAGCAAGACTCAGTCAAGTCATAAACCTACATTGTAGTTACCGCCCCAGCTCCTGAATGCATAGTTAGAATAGATACAACAGGGCTGGGGATTTAGCTCTATGGTTCTGCCGCCTGCCTTGAAAGCACAGGGACCCGAGTTCAATCCCTGGTACCTAAATAAATAAATAAAATAGATACACCAAGCAACTGACAGAATGTGCACATTCCTTTACTGACCAACAAAGCAAGGCCCATTATAGTGGAAAGTGTCAAACTGAAACCCCAGGAAAATTTCTTCCCCCAAAATAAACAAAAAAGTAA